AAAATGTTCAATTTGCCCACAGCAGGTCCCCCTCCTGTTATTTTAAAAGAATAAGGTTTTATTTGGTTTATCCACTGAGTAGGAACTGTTAATTATCAACTATCAGCTGTGTAAATAAATACAGTTGAACCTTAAAAGGACATTAGGGAAACAGTCTTGTTAGTTATCAAAGGATCTTTTTTTTGGGGTCATGTCAAAATTATTTAGGCTAGCAGTCTTGTTGTCAAGATTAATGAAAGGACTTAGAATGGGGACGCGGAAAGGTCGCCCCCGGAAACATCAACCCCCTACGTCATAATGACGTCAGAGACCGGGGGGTGATGTTTCCGGCCGTGGACACTCAATTTCAGTTGCAGCATGCACTCGTCGATATGACGAGTTATTTTTGAGTTTGCGTATTAATTAGATAATTATATTCACTTATCATATACAGTTACCAGATTTTCTTATTACAATTGATGTTAACCGGATACGTCAACCCCGATCGTTTTCAAAATGCACACCCCGGAAAGGTCCCCCCCCTGCCATGATCACCCCCGGTATACCTGCTGAAGGACTTGGGCTCGTGACTCGAGCCAGCTATTGTTCCAAAGGGTAGAGACTGTCCCATATTACCACCGCTAGACTGAACTCGCAAGAATGGGAAGGATTTGGTATTAGTGGGAAATCATGAAATAAAGAGAATGTGACACTGTTGCTTGCTTCTCTGTCAACGCAAACGTTAACAGTGTGAGCTTTTTCCTGTTTATTGCCGAAGAAACTAACCAATATTTACTTTCTAAATTCTTTTTACGGGAAAGAGTCCTTCACCAATATCAAATCAGGAATATTCTCAATGCATTTATTTTACCATAAAATCCAGACAATTATTCAAATGTATATCATATACAACATTTATTGCTCAATGTTTACAATTTAAGAATTAGGAAATGTGAAAATATGTTTGTCAAGTGTGTACTGTATTATGATTTTGAGTGATTGAAGCATGCTCATATTAAAACCAGTTATTCACCAGTCATATTACCAAGGGAGTATGTTTTATCTATGATATTACTTAATTTTTACTATTACTATAAACATTTTATTTCATTTCCACGTGTTTCAAATACATTTTATACGTTGACGGAAAAAAACGTTATGTAATTTATACATCATTTGATGTATAATATTAAGGGGAAATGTCTAGAGAAAGCACAATATCAAAGTGTTAATTTGTATTTATCTTAATATCCACAACATTTGCGTAATAATACTAAATCCTTCCCATTCTTGCGAGTTCAGTCTAGTGGTGGTAATATGGGACAGTCTCCTACCCTTTGGAACAATAGCTGGCTCGAGTCACGAGCCCAAGTCCTGATTACATTACTTGTCGTTGATTATACAACTGAGATGTTCAATGATATTATCAAAGATCTGTATTTTGTATCAGACTCATCCCTATTATTATAAGGGAGGTGAAGTTCTGTCCAGGAACAAACTCGAGATCTCTTAGGTTACTATACCAAGGTTGTGACCACTGAGCTATAATTCTAACTGGAGGTAGCACTGAATGTCAAAGATGCGTGTCGCCAGCCGCCATGTTTGCGTGAGTCTGGTGTCATAAGAAGCCATATTATTGCTATAACTATTATTATACTTGGCTTAAAATACCTACTTTGTATGGTCGCCATTTCAAAGAAAATTATTAAAGTATTAAAAGTATTCAAGTATGACAAAAATACTCACTGCTATACCAACCTAGTTATAAGAAGCCATGTTATTGCTATTGTAAGAAAACTTACTGCTATACCAACCTAACAAAATCAGCGACTCGCTTTTGACAGACTTCTGCCATGGCAGTGCTACCTCCAGTTACAATTTTAGCTCAGTGGTTGTGACACACAAATACTTCTCATCACATTGTATTTAAATGGAAGCTCGTTTTAAGAGTGATTCGTGTTGAGCGCTTCACGCACGATTACTAGAAAAAACCCGGTATGGATCATAAACATAAACAAAATGACGTTGTTGGCCCGAATCCTATACTAATAGCATTGAACATATGTTTTAGCAGTTCCATTTAACCAATGTTAAATCATGTTTATTTTCGGGCCAAAAACGTCATTTGTTGATGTTTATGATCCATACCGGGTTTTTTCTAGTAATCGTGGCTTCACGTATAAATGTAGCAACGAGATTTTTTTCTCCATATTATAGTAGCATAGATAAAACGTGTATAATTTATATATTATAGTAGCATAGATAAAACGTGTATAATTTATATATTATAGTAGCATTTAGAATAGTAGCATAGACTAACCAACGTTTTATCTATGATAGTAGTTCTCGAAGTTTCCTTGGTATGTTATTCGCGTTCGTTAACACTTGAGAGCGTTGGTGTCCATTAACTGTATTTTGATTTGAGAATTAACTTCACAGTATTGCTTTACTATTTTTGGTTGTATTATTTTTATCAGATACAATTTTTTTGTTATCTAACATGTATTAAAACTAGTTTGATAGCAATCTATTTGTAAACAACTCTTTTATTATAACAACAGTATTATTATAACAAAAAGTTAATGCAAAAGTTGTAAAATCCACCCTAAAATAATATATAAATATAACGTGAGTGGTATTAGTGCAACAAAACGTTACCAACATAAACCTTACATCAAAACAGGCTACAGATTTTCAACCAGAGGTAAGAAGCCCACTCACACCATTCAGTGTGAAGTACAATTTTTATTTATCAAAATGTAATAAAAAGTAATATGACGTAAGTAATACATGGTAATACATGGTAATACCATGTTTTTTCTATGTAGACTTCTCATCCCATTGTAAATTTTGAAGCTCGTTTTTAAAGTCTAGTTCATGTACGCCACACTGGGCGCTAGTGTCAACGAAATTTTGTTTCTATTATTTTAGGGTTAATTTCTTGATTTGTGCTTTACTGTTTGGTTATACAACTAGAGGACAAGTTATTGTTTGTGATTAGATCGTATTATTTGGTTAAACGAGGTTTTAAATGGCTGTAATAACAGGAAACAAATTGTAAACAAAACACGACCTCTACATAAACCGTACAGAACTAACAATTACCTTGTCGGTACTTTCCTGTTAAAGGGAACATTCATTATTATCGATGATTTATTTTCGATATATCGATATTTTTGTTTTACTTCACGATTGGTATTCCTTCCGTTTTAATATCTTCAAACGCATTTCAATTACAAATTAAGAACTAACCTTGTCTAGGCAAAAGCCTATATATTGGATTAGGACATGAAACTGTTCTAAACTAACCTAACATAACTAACCAAACTTGCTGTATAGGCTAAGTTACCGTTTCAAAATTCCATTTGATAACAGAAAAGGCATATGGGGAATAGGCTATCAAACGGATTTGTGAAATGTTACAGCAAGTTTGGTTGGTTAGGTTAATTTAGAACAGTTTCATTTCAATATTTTTTTTTTAATTGTTTGTTGATACAGAACAATATTTATTTACTGTATCCTATATCGTACTTTTCAGCTGATATGTTTAAATTTGTTACTATCAATATATCGGATGGAAAACAAAACTATCGATATATCGAAAATAAATCATCGATAATAATGAATGTTCCCTTTAACAGGAAAGTACCAAATTGGCTTCAGCTGTTCCATAAGGATGAGAAATCTGCTAAGGGAGTATGTGTTATCTATGGTAATACCTTCTCATCCCATTGTAAATTTTAATTTTGAAGCTCGTTTTTCATGTCTAGTTCATGTACGCCACACTGGGCGCTAGTGTCGACGAAATTTTGTTTATACTATTTTAGGGTTAATTTCTTGATTTGTGCTTTACTGTTTGGTTATATAACTAGGTGACAAGTTATTGTTTATGATTAGATCATATTATTTGGTTGAACGTGGGTTTAAATGACTGTAATAACTTTTTTTTATCAGAATTTATTTTACAATCTGTTCAAATATGAGAACAATAAGTAAAACCATAGACTAAGGGAGTATGTTTTATCCATGATAAAACGGTAGTCAGGAAGCAAGCACCTGTTCATCAACAAGTCTTGCCAAAAATTGGGTCAATCATTTAAATATTTACAGAAATCTGTAGCTTAGGTCCAGCACATGCACAACACTTTTTAATCTGGTAATGCACTGACTATTGTCCAGCAGATTAACAGCAAGACTGTTCGGATGATATTCTAATTTGTCTTGATAATTTTTGCTAAGGTCTGTGATTTCTTCTTTCACTGATTTAATTTTGAAGTCATTCCTAATTGTAGTGTTGGATACGAACCAGGGTGCGCCAATAATTCTTCTCAGTGCCTTAGCCTGAAATCGTTCAAGAATTTCGATGTTGGATTTGCTCGAGGTCCCCCAAAGTTGAATTCCGTATGTCCAAATTGGTTTGATCATAACTTTATACAGTCAAATTTTGTTAGCCAATGATAATTTTGAATTCGTACCTAGTAGCCAATTGAGTTTACGAAGTTTCAATTCCATTTGCTGTCTCTCGCACCAGATATGAGATTTTGTAAACAAAACACGACCTCTACATAAACCGTACAGAACTAACAATAAAATTGTCTTCAGCTGTTGCATAAGGATGAGAAATCTACTTGGGGGAGTATGTTTTATCTATGGTAATACTGTATATAAGAATGCAGATTGTGTGATCAAAGGACTGCTACGATAAGTAGTAGTGTGGAACAGGGAACAGTGGATTTACCACTGACTGAGTAATTTTTTTTTATATATAGACGTAGGATTGTAGGAATTAAAGAAAAAGAAACAGTGGTGATATAGTCAATTCTGTTGTTATTTAAAAAAAAAAACTCCGAATTTGTAAATATTGTAGCAAATATTAAATACATCGGCTGTTGGATTTCTAAAGTAAGTACTTAATGAAGCTTATCTCCTTAATCCTCCATTAGACTTATATTATTTTAGTTCACGGTCCGAGTCCAGACGCAGGTCCACGTTTTGGCGGCAAACGCAGTATTATTATTGTGACGATTCGTCTAGCAGCCGCCTGTCTTGCTGCTCCTTGTTTTGCGAAAGTATTAATTCGGGAGTAAATAGTTAATTAAAGCTAACCATTTAGCTTAAACTTAGTGACTATTATTTGTGTATAGTTAACTACTGGAAAGGTTTTGTCGTATTACACTTCCCATTGTGGATTTTCTCAAAATGGATTGTGGTGATGAAGAGGATTGTGACTTCGATAACGACTTCATACGTAGGCCTAAGTTCTATCATAGTACTCCTAGGCTATCTTCAATTCTCAAAGACAATCATAGGTGTAAATTATCCCTAACTGCGTCTTCTTGTGAAAATATATCTCCAGTAGACAGGGCACCGGTAGAGTACTATAATCCATTCACTCCAGATGGTAAAGTTATTGCCACTAAGGCGAATGCTCAGAAAAAGTTCAAGAGATTGTGTATAAGTCAACCTCCTCCTGTCTCTTTGGACTCGACCAATTCCGATTGTTCGAAGTCTGATTGCGACTCAACTGACATACCCCGAAGGCCTCGGTTGAAGGAAATGAACGTTTCTCGCCTTCATGAAGAATTCATTGTTTTGGAAGAGATAGGAAAAGGTGTCCACGGTTGTGTTTTCAAATGTTTGAATCGAATGAATGGTTGTATCTATGCTATTAAAAAAACATTACATCCAATTAAAACAGATTTTCAAGAGAAAATCGTAAGGAATGAAATCTATGCCCATGGTATTCTTATACATCCGAATGTTGTATGCAATTTCTCAAGCTGGATCGAAGAGGACTTTGGATTTATTCAAAATGAATATTGTGATTTGGGAAACCTAGAGGAATATATCAAAGGTAATAAACTTTCAGAAAACTTGCTTCGTAGTCTTCTTCTACAAATGGCTCAAGCTCTGGCCTACATTCACAGTAAGGGCTTGGCTCATATGGATATCAAACCTGCTAACATATTTCTTAAGTCAGTTTCCTGTGTAAATGATGATTCTGGTGTTGGCGAAAGGAGTGATGATATCACTTTCAAACTGGGTGATTTTGGCCATGTCACAAGCTTGGATGAAGATAGCGACATTGAAGAAGGTGATTGTCGATATATTCCCAGAGAGCTTTTGGATAGGAATCCCACTCATTTGGATAGAAGCGATATTTATTCACTTGGTTTGACTGTGTACGAAGCCGCTGGTGGTGGCCCTTTGCCAAAAAATGGCGAGGAATGGCAAGAAATCCGCAATGGAAAGCTCAAGACACTAGGTCATCTTAGTAGAGAATTTAATAATATCATAAAAACTATGATTAACCCTAGACCTCAAAATCGTCCCTCTGCTTTAGAATTGGTAAAAATGCTTAAACTATCACAATCTCTTTCTTCACATGCTGATGATGATCTTCAATATTACTATCAACATCATTACCACAATAACTCAAGGCTTGAACACCGAGTTGAAGCTGACGGATATTTTATAAGGGAACTCTTCAAATCTCACAGACAGCTCCACAGCCATCTTTACTCTGGAGTGGATTCATCTGGGTATTATTCAAGGGAACTAAGTCCATCCAACGGTGGAAAGAGAAGTGGTGCTACAGAATCTCGTCTGGTTGGGAAAAAAGCCAAACGCTCCAATAGCACAATGTTCTAAATTAGGCCTAAACTTACTGTGGCTTGTTGTGTCTCGGCCTTTACCTCCATTTTGTTTATCGGCCTAAATGGTGAAAGTGTAACTCAAATTTAGTCTTTTTATGGTTACCTTTTATCAAATTTGAAATTGTAAGTACAAGTGAGAAGTTTGTGTACGGTAATAATTTACTGTAGGCCTATAGGTCGTGTTTTTTTCATGAAGACTTAATCATAGGCTGCACCGCTACACCAGATTATGTAGACAGGTAATCTGTAATTTAACTATTGTACATTTGATTTAGACTAGGCTATATAAGTTTATCTTTGGTTTATAGTAAGTTTGTTACTGGTAGTCGAGAACTAAGTTATGCATTGTAGTTAACATGATTTGCAAATGACAGGCCTAACTTGATTTACCAGTGTTTTTGTTGTCAATAGTCCTAGAGGTTTAAAATTTGGTTCTAACTTAGTTAAGTTTTGCATCTCATTCGTCCGAAAATTAAATTTATTGATGCTACCTAACCTAATAGCATTTTGAACTCATTTGAAGTTATTAATTGAAGTTACTCTTGAGTAAATATTGGTAGGCAAGTAATGTTCAGTTACTCAACTACCACTTTTGATCCTATGTATGTATAACGAGGCCTATTTGGCTTATCAAAGTGTTGTTAATGTGCTAATATATATTAGGCTCAAATGTCCTTGGTTCATAATTGTTAAATAATCTCCCTCGGTCAGAATTTCTCTTCAATAGGCCTAACTTAATACATATTTCAAGCATTCATTTGTTAGGCCTACTTACAGACTATAACTTAGGCCTACTATGGAAAGGTTTTTATTTGAACTTATGCTAGATTATTTTGATATGATATGTGTGTTTTATAGGTTTATAGGCCAAGTTTATGTATCTTCAAAAAAATATTCAAGGCTAAAAAGTTAATATTTGTAAGTACGTCCCACTAATTAATCAAATGTCTGGATAAAGTCCAATTACGCCTATTAGGTCATCAGGAGTTGTAAGATTAATTAATGTCAGATAGACATTGGTACAATACGCTTATGGTAATTTTGTAAAACCCCTCAAAACCTTATTGTCGTTCAATTATTCAAACTGAGCATTTGACTTAAATCTTGGCTAAATTTTTTGATACAACTAAGTTATGTGTTGCTTATTTTTTACTTTTCAAAATACATTACCAAAGTATTTTATTTATTCATATCAGTTGTTCAACACAATGCTTTTTATAAATTAATATTTTTTATCTTCCTAATTTCGTCTGTTAAACAACAGGTTGCAAATAGGCCTAGTAACTTAATCTCATCATTTTTAAAGTTTCACACTCTAAAAATACATTTAAGATAAGCCTACCGGTAGCCTACCAGAGACAGCTAACAGATGGACATACCGGTAATTTAAAGGAGTTACTTCAGCTTCTTTTTACTTGTATTTGTCGCTTACAGGCATTACTTACGTCAAAGGCGGAAAGTTAAATCCGGTTTGGTTATGTCCCATAGGTACCTAAAAAATTTTACCTTAGCCAAGCTGCTAACATAACATAACCATAAAGGTGGTGCCTATAATCAACAAATACACTTAAGTTCCAGAGTTCTTTCAAAATTGAAGATCTGACTGTTTGTGCGATAGTTTTATAACTTTTTATTGCCTATTAGGTTTGCTGCTAATTTTACTAAAACAACGCTAGGCCTATTTATGCTAGTCATTGTATTTACTGGTTTTGCTTGCTGACTTACATACAATTTTAAACGCTTAAATTGTTTACTTAATCTATTGATACATAAGTTATTTGAACAACTGCGAGGTACAAAGGAATTAAGTCAAGTTTTATTTGGTAGTAGTGGGACATGCCTATCATAGCCTTACAGACTTTTCAGGCTACAGTTATGTTACCCTACCTATCTAATCTAGGATAGAAAGCTAGGTACCCATTAACTTACATCCAATGGGATTACAATAAGCCATTTCAATTTATGTGTAGTAGGTAATATAATATATAGCACTGAAATAAGATTTTGGCACTTTTGTTTTTTAAAAAGGTTCTGGTTTGTTATTTTTATCATAAGTGGATTACATTTTTTATAATTTAGGCTTAGGCCTATTGTGCAAACGTATATGTGTTTCACTGAGACATTGTTATGTTACTCTTGCTGTATAACCGTTTTCTAGTGTTTAAAGACACTTTTGTTCATCTCTTTATCGTTCAATAAATTTTGTGTTCACAAGTCGTGTGTACTTTTTTGCCTGTCTTGAAACACAATGATAGAACTTACAATGTGATAATGTTTTGTGAAGATAAATTACCGGTATTTAGCCTACTGACTATAAGAGCTTATAGAAATTCATGCTGTTCATAATTTTTTATTTATAAAACTTAGGCAAGTTTACTATCTTTTAGAGATCTGCTCACTGATTTCACCGATCTTACTTCTAATTTACTGGCTAATTTCAAGCCTACAAAATCATGAAGTCAATCAATGTTTTGCTAAACACTACCTATGTAGGCCAACATTAGTATTTAAAATATGATACAAGAAGCACACGGTTAAAGTGCAGAATATGTGACATTTAGTGCTGATTTTTAACTGACAGAGACTTAACAGCTTTTTATCATGCTTGGTCTGCCACTGTAAGTTAAATTGGGCTATTTACAGTAATGGGATGTTGGACAAACATTCTTAGGGCTATTTTGGAGTAAACAATTGGATGGCCTATAAGTGCAATATGCAATCTGTGCTGTAGTTAAGCAATTAAACATTTGAATTTGAAATATTAAACATTTAAATGTGTTTAACAACTTACTAATGAACTAAAAATTCTTATAATATCAAAGTAAGATAAAACTGAGTTGAAAAAGAACTTGCATGGTGAGTCGGTGGCTCAGTCGGTAGTGCCACGGACTTCAGGCCCAACAAAGCAAGGCAGCGATGTCATGGGTTTGGCTTTTTATTAGTATGTACAGTTAATCCTTGTACTGTAGGCTACCTACTCACCCCTTGCTTTGCTGGATTGTTCCACCCACAGGCCTCTGTAGACGGCTCATAGCAAATGGAAGGAAAAGAAGCTGCAAACCTCTTATAAAACAATAAATTAATACCGGGTACCAATCAAAATGTGTTTTACTTGTTTATTTAAATCTAGGACAGTATATATTTATACAGTATTTGAATTAAGTGTTTATTTTTATAAAAACCTTTAAAGTTAATTAAAATATTATGGGTTTGGAGTCTGCGGATTGAATTTAAATCCAAGTTGTTAAACCAGTGTGTTTTAACTCATTATTTGTTACTTTAAACACAAATAAGAAAAGTTTCAGTAAATTTCCAACTGTAGCATCATGAGTTTATTTACTACGTTAAATACTGTCTAATCTTGGGGATCAAACTTACTACTTACACTGAAAAATTGTAAATTTTTGTATCTAAAATTTTGTACAGTTTGTAAATGTTTATTATGGAATGGTGTGGAGTCTTATGCTATGGTTAGTCATTATTTTATCGTTAAACCTAACACATGGTTCAGGTACCTACTTCTTTACACTTTTGTTGTCTTGCTTTTTTCTTGCAATTCTGTATCTTTTGAGTTGCCTGTTTCAGTTCTTTGTTTATGGTTGGTTTGCATAACTGGTAGACTTGCTTCACTGCATCATGTCAAAAGACGACCTAGGTATAATTAAAGGTACGTTGTGTTTAGTAATTATTTTTAACTTACTGTCATTGAAAAACAAACGATAGCCTAAATATTATTTTATATTGTCAAGACAATAAAGTATTTATTTATTTTATTTATTTATTAAGTTTGTTTGTATATTAAGAAGATCACATGTTTCCTAATGTTTTCCTCTTGATCACAATAGGAAATATAGTCAATTGTTAGTTGATAGTTTTCTTCAGAGTACTAACTGGGTATTTCGGGACTGAGACCACAACCTAACAATTTGGCTGGTTAACCCTTTTTAGTGCTACGCGACATTATATTGTTATGCGTCTTTTTCCCGAATAGTGCTAAGCGAAGCTATATCGTACCGGCGTTTCTTAGCACTTTTGAGATGAAAAATTTTATTTATACCAATTTTTTTTTCTCTCTCACTAGGCTTTGCCCCGTGGCAAGCCTAGCACTTTCCGGACAAAAGAAGTAAATAACTAGCATTTTTCGGAAAATTACAAAAGAAAATTCTAGCATCGAAAGGGTTTGGAAACCGATATGTTTTTAAACTTTTTCAGTGTTCTATCAACTGAAACTTGGTGATTTCCAGTTGCATTGAACCAGGTTGTGACTGCCTCCTTGATCTTAAGCACAGATATACAGTGTTTTCCGCACATTTCAGTTAAATACGAACAGTCACAGCAACTATTTGTTAAAGGAAACCCAGTGAAGTCTAACTGTATTTTAAATATTTTCCTTCAAAACTGGATAAGGTGACAACAGCTATTGTACCTGTCATAGATCTAGCGATTGTACGGTTGAAATATAACACTGCTCTAGACAAAAGAAAGGTGAAAGCTTTAATCCATTTATTTTTTATTAAACTTAACAACTTAATCCATAGAAATTTAATAAGTGTGATCCTTCATGAACTAATACAAATTTAACACTCGATCTTAAATAGAGAGGTTTTGAAATCACACTGTTTGCTTAAATTAACACTAAAACGTCATTCTTATGGATAAGATATTGTGTTTTTATTTTGTGTCAAAAAAACTTGTAACTTTGACAAGGTGTCTTTTAATTTTTACTAGTGTACCTGTTGCTCGAATTCGAGCAATTGCTTAGTATTACAGGCGTTATTGTAAAACAAATAATAGTCATAATTTCTGATGGCTTTAAAATATTCGACTCAAAGATTATGGAAATACTCAAGATGTACATAACAGATCGATATAATCAACATTTATGGTGTATAGTGTTTACTACAAATAGCCTTACTCATAGTCGCATCAGGTTTCCAGACACATTGTGTCCAAATGCCTAACAGCACGACTCCCTTCCCCATACCGCCCTGAGCGATAGGGATCCTTAAAAATTCGCTCTAACCTTTCCTATCCCCTTCATGGGCAAGTTTTCATTCATTTTGTTTGTTTCTTTTTTAAAATTTTAACGCCTATATGTATTCCTGGTTTTTCCCATTTCCCTAGCTACTTTTCTAAACATCTCAATTGTTTCCTTGTCACTCATCATGTTTTATTTTCTCATCTCTAGACCTATCTTAACCAAGACTTATTCCTGTTATCACCTGTTTGTCTCTTGAAGTGACCAATTTATTATACGTGACTCGTGGTTTTTATTTCTTCACATCTACATACTTCCTCTTCCACCATGTGAAATCTTCACAAATTCGACTTGAAATTGTCCTGTCAAACTGTGTTTCATAATGGCCCATCTCCCAATCTTTTTCCAGTCTCATTCTGATGTTAGGTATATATCCGAAGTTTACCTTTAAAACGTTGACATAAAACACTCTGCTCCCAACGCATTTGCCACTCATCTAATATCTTCTCTCTTCTGTTTCCGATGTAGTCCTACCCGCCTCCTTGTCTTCCAAAATCAACAACCTATGCAGCGATTATCCAACAGTCCTAAATTGAATGTGAAATCTTCAGGCGGCTGTTGGAGAGCACACTTAAACCTAACACAGAAGGGTGCTTGCTGTATTCGGCTATCAAAGACAACAGTATTATTTGTATTTCGTTCGCGTCTACCAGTTAAAGTTCGTCGGCCTCCTTCTATTGGCCGCCCTGGTCGACGTCTTATAGTCTCCATTATGTCGAACGTTTTTTTGGTTATGTTTTGATTTTGTGCAAAATTTTTGTATAACCAGCTGTTTCAAATATTAGTGTCAATTTCAAAGTATTCATCTGTTTAAATGTAAACAAAAATTTTCTCCCTAAGAATAACATGGGAACTTTGAAGGCCAATGGGGCAGAGCCCTGATGGAATTCCAAAGTTTTTTTGTTTTATGGCAAAGCTACATGCTAAGACCTTTCTAAAGACACCTTGAACATGGTGATCGGTATCACCACCACTCCAAAACAATTATGTCAAAAATATGCCTAGCGTATTAAATATATAGATAATTTTATTTTAAATTATAAAGGCTGTTACTCTATCAAATTAACGAGTTACAATTTAATATGTTGGACAGTGCGTAAACTTTCCCTTTCTCTAGTCCCGTGGCTGTGCACAGTAGTGCCTTGAATGTAGAAACTGGCAGTATACAACCGTTTCCAATATATACAGGGAAGGTAGGGTCAGAATTCCAAGCTTCCCGAAAGCTGGTCTACGCGATTCCCTTCGCCTCAGACTTTTAATTAATGTGATGGCTCTCTTTTGAAGCTTTTATTATTGAATTATTGATTTTTAGGGCCATAAAGGCATAAAACTATGCGGTTTTATTTGTTGAAGATAGGATAAAGGTATATTTTTGGTAAATGAGCACCATGGGGTTCCTTAGATAACTTTTGAGTTTTCTAGTTACATTGTTATGATTAATGCACAAAAATTACATGGAAGATTTATTCAGGTATGTACCTTAATTGGTAACTTTAAATTTGATATTAACTTACTAGGTTATCCATAAATAGCTATGAGTATTATCAAACCAAACGTAGATTAGAAAATGGTTCTTGCCTTGGGTACATTTTAAGGCTGTCTACGACATCTTTTAAGTCTGAGGCACGTTGCACATGAAACCAAACCCATGTTATGCCTACCAAATGGTTGACGCAAAAATTAGGTTGATGTTCTTGACATGTTTTTCAATAATGCATCCCTTTCAACATTGTTGGACATGAATGAATTGTGTCTTAGGCTTTAAGTCCACATTTTGAGACAGAGTCGGCCGACAGTTTGTCAGCACAGTTTCAAATACAAGTTTCCGATTTGTTTTGCGTCCACACTAGCCAGCCAGTGTTTGTTGGTATGGCGTGATTTTATCCTGTGTGTGTGTGTGTTTTACTTCTTAACCATGTGGCTAATGTACTGAGGAAGAGACAATGGTGGACCCGCAAGTTTCTTGAGGAAGGTTCGTACTATTGTCAAAACCTACTATTTATCAGACCTTCGATTAGAAGATGGTGCAGGATTTAGAAATTTTACAAGAATTTCAGCCCTGAACTTGACACTGAACACCAGTGGGTTCGGGTTGTATCCAATCTCCTCTATCTCCAGACACATGCAGACTTGAGACAAAAGATTGCATCTTTTCTCCGTGTATCCCATTTGTATAAGAAAAAAGAATACACTGTATTTTGTCTCCGGAAAAACGGAGATTTATCTGCCGACAGCGGGCCGATCATCTGGAGACATCACTATATACAAAAGGCAACACTACAAAGACAGTCAGCTGACAATGTTTCCGGAGACAGATCGCCAAGTGTGGACTAGACATAACATCAGAGTGTAACCTGCCTGTTAATTTTAGCAAATGTGCAATTTCAAAACAGGGATTTCCCAAGTACACAAAATACACATTGTACACATAATATGTGGAACATTTTTTTTTCTCTTATCCTATTATTGTTATTATCTTATTATTGTTCAGAAAGAGAAAATTGGCTCAAGATTGTTGTATTTTTTATTCAACCAAGATAAATTGAAAGGACACACAAAACTATAGCATCTCCAATATCTAATCTATGAAAGTATCAATAATGAAGAGGGAAAACAGAACTTCAACAGAACCACACTCTATAAGTGGCCCAATCAACATTTCAACAATGTTATTTTTTAATTGGCTACAGCTGGTCCAAATAGGTCATAGAAGAGATGTCACCTTCAGTATCCAGAAGTCAACAATACTGCACAACAACATTGCAACAATGATTTCCTGCCCTCATTGAAAACATAACATAAAAACATGGATGATTGGTAAATTAATCCCAATGTGTCACATGTTCACAAAACAGAGGTTATCCATAAGCATAGATAAAACATAGGTTTTATCTATGCCGTAAGTCAATAGCATTTATCATGGTGACAATTCTATGTACATTTGGTATCAAATGACAGAATGTCCCCTACATGATAACGCTATTATATTCTATAAAATCCAACCTCAGGCCTTTGTTCTGCTGGCTTTGTTGAAAATAATGTCAGATTTTAACAATAACATAAGGACTTTATTTGTAATGTGAATCCAGACTAGTCAGAAAGTAAACAAGAGCCACAATAATTAAAAAGAACATATGGTGTCAATATGAAACAAATATATTACAGGCTTGTTGATATAATCCAAGATAATATAATCAATATGAATGTATTGTTGTATGTTTGTTTCTCAGTCAGATCAGGATGGCATTTCTCCTCTTTGTTTCTGTTCCAATAACAGCTGTTTGCTTTATAAACACACTCAGGGAATTTGTTTTTGAAGCATTGTTTCTTTAATTACTCCGATAATTTTCCAAAATGCCATTAAAACGCAAATCTGATCTTGGAAGAGATTCTCGAGCACAAAGAAGAGCTAGAAGACGCCGACTTTTGAATCTTCAAGAGGAACTTAGAAGCATTAAGCAAGAGGAACAAAAAGAGATTTTTGAATCACTTGAAGCACTGGATCAGTCAGAAATTAGGCTACTACGGCTTACCCAAAATTCGGCCACTCAAAATGGTGCTGAAAATGTGGAGCAAACTCAACAATGTCAACTAAATGAGGCATCGGTAAGATTTTCATGCTATTGCTAGCTAAGCTTAGCTCCCCTACAGGATTGCAATATTTCTTTGTAGACCTACTGACATTTTTTGTAACAATGGCTGAACTGCCAATTCTCTTTTAGGCTAAATTGCTTGAAAATCTTTTCAGCGGGGATAGGCCTACATTCACAATAATGACATGCAAATCCAAAAACGGCCATCTAGGAGGCTTTTTTTGCATCAGTAGGCTCCAAGTAAATAGTGAAGCGAGGGACAAGTGCATATCTTGCTGAAAATGTGAATGCTTCTATTGATTACATTGTTAAAATTGTCATATTCAATTTTTTTAAACTATTTTCGTGTATATTTTTTACCGCACAAACATCAAGCCTTTTACAATTGAATCATTTTGACAGTTGACTCCAGTCACATAGGTAATCGGTAATCATAAACTACATCAACCTTAGTAATGCAATTAAACCTCAAAATGTAATTAAACTTATTACTACAATCCTTTTGCTCTCTAAAAATAATACTAGCGACTCAATAATTAAATAATTAAATCCACAACAAATATCATACATAGGTAGCCTACACTAAACTTAGAGGTATTTAATACTCTGAAGTCTGAGGGCTTATGCCATGCGATAACAATAAATTACCTATGCTCTTTGGAATAGAATGAAAGCCTCCCATTTTGTGTCACACAGTATAAATTTGAATGACATTTCCCCTTATTTCATTGTTGCATTGTTGCATTTTTGTTTTTCAAACATCAGCTTTTTATTTTATTCAAACAATAAGTTATTGTTTTGTGAGATATTTTTGCATTTGTTATCATTTTGGTAGTTTTTTTCCTAAAATGCCTAGAAAAAAACGATCTGATCTTTCAACGATAAGTTATAAAGCCAAAAGAATGAAAGATAGACGCCGAGCTTTGAAAAATCAAGGTGAACTTAAGAGAATTAAGCAAGTGGAACAACAGGTCATTTCTAGACCTGAAACACCAGAGTCAGAAATGAGGCAAATACTGCTTATCCAAAATTTGGAAACCCAAAGTTCTGCTGAAACAGAGCACACTCAACAACAGCGACTAAACCAGGAACGGGTAAGATGTTTGTGCTGAATATTTTGCTAGCCTAACTCCACATCATATTACCCTGAGTGTGTAACTTTCTTGTACATTTGCTTTACAATGACCGGACTACAAATTTCTTTTCCACATTGCCACCTTTCTCAAATGGGAAGATACCGCAGCATTCAAGTAGCGAAAACAGCCGTCTAGTAGTGATTTTGTAATGTAAAGTAGTTCAATTGTTAAGGAATGTTGTTAGAAAACCTGGGCTTACTAGACTAATACATCATAGGTGTTTTATTTCATTTTATTTGTGTGTTTTATGTCAGTGGCATTTTTTAGGTTTTGAAAGGAAACGGTCCAAACCCTGGTCTTAGCACTATCTGACGTCGACGTTTTTGTTAGATAGCATCATTAATTCATAGCCAAATGACAAATCTGGCATCTGGGTCTGGAAACGATCTCGCTTGGACCAGCGACCTTCAGATTTGAAGGCGAGCACTATAACCACTCGGCTACCCAGACAATTAAGTGTTGGGCGGGATTGTTTCACTTGGAGACGATTTAAGTCAGACGCTGCCACATATTAAGTGGGACAAACCAGCGTATTTAATTTAATGTCACAAAAGGCTCACAAGTTTAATTTTATTAGTACATTTTTTTCTCTCTTACTTTCTCGTTTGTACCTAAGTTGTTACATTGCCTCCAATACAGTGTCTTCTTTATCTATACATAGTCTTCTATACATAGTCTTCCTATACATTGTCTTCTGCAATCCCCATACTCCTCATGTCTTGCTACACTTAATGTCACCCAATATGGGTCTTCTTCCTTAGAGAGTTCCCTTCAAGATTACCTTTTCTTTAAGTTGAACTATCTTACTTTTATCAACATGTGTCCAGTCCTACATCTTATTTTTCCCACGATACATTTCCATGTCTATACATTTCTGTTATTTCCTGATCCTGTCCCTCCATCCTCCTGCATTGGGCCAATCTTTTTTTTTTATGGAATGAGTAAAATTTGGTTACAAGAACAAGTAGAAATGTCTTAAGTTGGAAAACCCTGATCTGCTTGTCAATGTCAAACCTTGGAATTTTGATATAACTAGACATCCCATCCCCATGTTAAAGTTGTCGCCAGTTTTAAAATCAAAATCGTCGTAGTTGATGTGAGCCACCAACAGATTATGCTGATCTAAATGACTAACTTCTGTTAAACATACAAACTGTTTCACCAAGTCAAACTCATTGAACGACTTATTGTGAGCTATACCAACTGTTAAGCCAACTATTAACTATGTCAGCAACCAAAAATAAGGAAAAATTGTATACACTAGCGCATTCTGCGACTAGCTCACACAACTAGCCTACGTTCTTTTTTTATAAAAAAATTGGCAACAGCTGGTCCATATATAGATGGGATGTCTACTTCAGTATCCAATAGTCAATGGTCAACAGGGCTGTCCCTAGGGTTGGCGGCGCCCGGAGCAAACATGGTCGTGGCGCCCCCTCCCCCCCAGCAGTAATAGTCGCATTCTCATATTTTAATACTATCTTAATACAAATAGCCGCTGCTCGGCGCCCCCTTAGCCACGGCGCCCGGGGCAGAGCTGCCCCGGTTGCCCCCCCCCTTCGGACGGCCCTGATGGTCAAACAAGTGATGTCTGACTTATACTCCAAATACACTACTTTCCTGTTTGTAGTTATTTGATACTATTTGAATGTTTATCATGCTCTCTTGCTGAAGCATGAATTTGATTTGCTTGCATGGGTCAAGGATACTAAATCCTCTTCTTTCAAAAAAGAATTTCAGCTATTGTCTTAACAAGTCGTACAAATTTTACTGGTCTTTCCTACACTCTGTTGTCAGTTTAATAAAAAAAACTTTCTTCTTCTCAATTAGTGTTTTTTCTTCCTAACCCCATATTAGGCCTATCACATTATCACAAAATTCAACATGCATATGGAAACCAATTTATTGCAAAAAATTTCTTTTAATCTCTATTACAGTAAATTCGGATTCAAATGATAATATCTAAAAGATTAAGTAATTGTTCTGCTTCATCTATGGTACCTAAGGCTACAATAGTTCATTCTCTGTGGTTTCATGTATGAGAACCTGATTGTTGATTTCAGATGACTTATAATAATAGTCGATCGAATAGAACTTGGTCGTTGGAAAGCATGCGTCAAGCACTACAGGCAGTTGACGGAGGAATGTCAGTACGAAGCTCCGCTGAACTCTACGGCATCCCTCGTAACACTCTGACTACCTACGTGGCCAGTGGTACCAACCTTATTCTTACAGTTAATCTTATAGTGATAGTAGATCACCATACTTTATGACTTCTCTATCAATGTCTCATTAATAATATGTGTCCATATTTTATTGGAATTTATTGTTAAAAATAACTTTTGTTGTGTTTACAAGATTAGTAATAACAGAATTCATTCTAATCTGTAAAATTCTTAGCTGTGTCAACGTTTCTGTTCGGTTATTACCTTTTCTCACAGAGAAGTGGGGCACAGAAAAAAACATGGCACACTAAAGTGGTGTCTAGCACTTGTGCTGGTGTCTGGGGCAAAGTCTAACTCCAACCCCTCACCCCTATTACTGTTGCTGGAGGAATTTCCGCATAGTGCTTGTCGCTCGGGCTCTTAAGTGTATTTCTGATCACAACATAGGCTACTAGAGCTGAAAGCGCACTGTTGTCCCAAGTGTTTTCCCTCTGTGCCTCACTTCTTTGTGTTTTTCTTTAGTCACACAAAGTAATAAGTAAAATTCCAACGGACTTGCCAATCATCAAAAGTAAAAAAATACAGTATTTTAAACTCACAAAGAATTATTTTAATTTCCTTTATTTTATCTAAAAATGTTAATTTATATGTTTATATTAAAGTTTAGTTGCTTTATAATTTTGTTGTTTGCTTTCAAACCTGATTGCATTCCTTTTCCTTATTTTAATTTTCATGCTTTCCTTAATTATTCCATCATTCACTGTTTTTGTTTTGACAAATTTTTTTTACTATTAATTTATTATTGATTATAGATGTCTTTTTTTAGATTGTAGCATGAGAGTGCTATTCAGAAAGTAAAAAAAGTTTTGGAATAACAAGTTTGTTTAAAAAAAGCTTCATTTTATATACATTTGAAAAAAATTCTACTTTTCTACATAGTCACATAACAAATTGATTACTAACAGTGGACGAGCTTTGAAATTTATTTATCACAAATTCTGCCACCAGCAAGAAAACGATCGCTTACCAAGTGTTCATTTTTTAATCAAGTTTAAAGCCCTCGGAACCTAAAGTCTAGTAAACTATAGAGTCTTTTTGGACTGTAGAGTGGTCAAGGAAAACTCTACCATTTAAATAAATGATTGAGATTTGTGTTTGATTTGACATTGTGATTTTAGGCCATGAAAAATGGACTTCAACCTTAGTTAAGCACCTTTGAAACTTAATGCACCATTTTCAGAGTTTAATTTATTACAGTGTTCCCGTACACTTCACACAATTGAAGTTTATGACCAACAAAAACCCCATTTCACTTTAACATGATGCTTGCACCTCGAGTGGAAATTTAATTGCTCACATTTTAAACTTGAATATTACGACAACAGGCAGCGGCAATGACACTTCAGCTGTAACAGTTGGGCTGACATTGAGGTGAACATGTCTGAACAAGATGGATGCTTGCGTCAGATAATGTTCCTTACTTTCTGAATAGCCCTCATGCATGGGTAGCGTTTTTAAACATGACAGTTTTAGTTTACGTATGTATCAAAACGTGTGAAATATGGCGAGCAAAAAATAAGAGTGCAAATTATTTTTACGTGATTTGCATTTAAATCAAATTGACAACCCCTGCTTGGGGATTTGTTCTCTCAAATATTGAAAATCGTTCAACTGTGATGAAATTTAAGACAAAATAGAAGACACACCTTTTGTAATTCTAAAAATGCTTATGATTCCTCTGGTTTAACAATTTTTGTTTTAATCTTACAGTTTTTCTTAAATGTTTTTGTGATGTTTTAGAACTTAGACTTGAAGATGAGATGAAGTTTATGGAAAATTTTGATCCTGAAAAAAGCAAGAGGGAACAAAGAAAGTTAAACAGAAAGATTTCCAATGTGTAAGTAGACTTTGTAATTTTTAGTAGTATTCAATAAATAATTACCGTTGATTTTTCTTAAAAATTGACAAATTTTGTATTCTGAAAACCATTCACTAAAAAAATAAATAATCACATGGATAAAAAAACAATATCCATGCTAGCCACTGTTCTGGGAAAATTTGTTTTTAGTTAAAACTTTAAATTAAATTTTAATATTTTTAACATTGGTCTTATAGAAAGCTAGGTAACCAAGGCAGCTTTACTAGAATGAAACTAAATTAATTGTTACATATGCTTATAACTAATCATCTACAGTACAGTGGTAAATAACTAAATACAGTACAAAAGAAAAGGACATTCCCCTAAAAAACATTAAGCACAAAATGTTGCGTAAATATCTCCAATACGTGAGCATAATAAAATGTTACTATATAATTTATTTTATTATATATTTTAGACTGTATTTTATAATATCATGAAAATGTTACATATCTAGGCATATGTTAATATTTTTAACTTCTCCTACGAATTGAACACGAAGAGCAATGCTCGGTCCCAAGTACTCATGGTATTTAATGATCGGTTTACATTTTCAGGGCAACCCGGAAGTCAGTGTATGACGAGAAGGGTATACATGTCAAGACAGGATTGGACTTGTGTGACTGCCTCAATGACAAGTGTGAGGGCTGCTTTTTCCCCTGCACCAGATGTCGTTCGACTAAATGCGGCCACGAGTGTCGGTGAGTCATGTGTGATCTTTGTAAACTTTCATCAGTAAAATATCTGGAAACTGCAAGCGAGCCTAAAGAAACTTTTTTCGCGAGAGCTAATCAGTATCTTGTTCAAGGGGCCGGGAAAAAGGTCCTATCTGCAATCAATTTTGGTATAAAACACGTTAACTTAAAACAAATTTTGGGCTATCAAAAACAAAAATTCTCTTCAAAAAGGTTTAAAACTCAAATTAATTGTCCCTACAGTTTTTAAGCAGATTTTGAACTAATAAAATGAACTACAAAATTGATACTGTACTAATGTCAACTACGAGTATTCAAGATCAATTATGCAATTGATGATAAAAATGTATGGCTGTTAGCCATAAAATTAGCCAAAGTATTACAGAGGTGAACAGAATCTTATTGGGTGATGAACGGAATTCTATTTGTCTTAAAAATGATTTTGCTAAATATAAATTTAGAGTTTTAATGAATTTCCCTATAGGGAAGTAGCTATACCATAGGTGGCACGGTAAGACTTAGACCCAGGACCGATTGACTTTTTTCATTTTAATGTCCCCAGAGGCAAAAAACACTATTCGTTCAAATTTATATGTGTGTCCGAGAACGGTAACTCGAGTCGAGTACAAAAATTCTCTTCAAAAAGGTTTAAAACTCAAATTAATTGTCCCTACAGTTTTTAAGCAGATTTTGAACTAATAAAATGAACTACAAAATTGATACTGTACTAATGTCAACTACGAGTATTCAAGATCAATTATGCAATTGATGATAAAAATGTATGGCTGTTAGCCATAAAATTAGCCAAAGTATTACAGAGGTGAACAGAATCTTATTGGGTGATGAACGGAATTCTATTTGTCTTAAAAATGATTTTGCTAAATATAAATTTAGAGTTTTAATGAATTTCCCTATAGGGAAGTAGCTATACCATAGGTGGCACGGTAAGACTTAGACCCAGGACCGATTGACTTTTTTCATTTTAATGTCCCCAGAGGCAAAAAACACTATTCGTTCAAATTTATATGTGTGTCCGAGAACGGTAACTCGAGTCGAGTACTGTAATATTGGTCAGATTTTTATGAAATTTAACTTGAAAATGTAGGACGGGATAAACTTGAATGAGTTCGCGAACAGCAACATCGGAGCATGGGAACTCACTTTTTGAAATTTTCAAAAATATATCTTTTCAAATATTAATTTTAAAACATGGAAATACACATTTTTATCCAAACAATCTTGTAGAGCTTAAAAAAAACAAATAATTTCTAGTATTGAAGCGTTCTTGTACAATTAAAGGTTAGAGAGAAAATAAAAAAAAATTTACATTTAAAATTCCTACTTTATTCTCATGGAGGAAATGAAAACTGGTGCAGTTTGCTTGTTTATGTCTTACACATTTTGCAAATTTATTTATTTCATCCTGCACTATTTGGTCAAAATAATACAGAATATCTTAACCTCCTCGTAGCAGCATACCTAAGTACTTGTTAAATCTAATGTTATATAAATGGAGAATAAACGTCTTGTTTATAGAAATATTTTAGTAAAAATCCACTGACAAATTAACATTCCCTTATTCTGCAGGTTTGTTGCAGCAGGGATATTGATTAATCGCTTCTGTTATTAATATTTTCAGAACAGCTCGCCGATGGATGTATGAGACCCACACTATCCAAGGGATGGACGAGATAATACAAAACCAGTATTTGGACCATTAAGCACCTGTAAAACTTCAATTTTTGTGTTATATAAAATAAATAAAATATTTATCCAATTGACAGCTCGTCAATTTAGTCTTGACAGCTAGTCAATTGATTTGATCGCTACAAAGGAGATAATTTTTCTTTAGAATTATTAAAAGTTTCAATTTCTATCTTAAGACTTTCTACTGTATTCTAAATATTCAAAAAATACTTCTCTTGTTTTCTGATAAGTTTTTATAGTGTTGAAAGTGAAGTAATACAGATCTGTAACACTGTTTTGAACAGGTTTTAGAAAATGTTGTGTGTTTTTATTGTTTTTGAATAAAGTTTTTAAAACTTATAATCTTAAATTATTTCCACCTCTCAAACAATGTGTAATGTTTTAATATTATAATAATAGTTTAATACTGTCTTTTGGGTTTTCAGTAGCACATACAACTTTAACCTTTATAACAAACTAGATGACCCATCGGCTCCTCCCGATACAATTTTGTGTTTTATTACTACTATTGCTGAAGGCTAAAATTGCCTTTTTCATTAATTTACTGTCCAAACTCTCCTTTTACCAGTAGCTTCAAATTACTTCCTCACTTAGAATAATTATAGGCCTACCCTCAAGCTGAATTTACCAGTAGTGCAGTTGGTTCTCTTTACATGATTGAAAAGTGTTACATATCTTGCAGTAGTATAACAACCTTTATTTATGTGACATGGTGTTCTTTTATGCATTTATTCTTGGATACTTCCTTACTAATACATTTTAAATACTTATGTTGAATAGTGCTGGCAAATGGCCTGATAATTTCTTGTGGATCTCATTGCTCTAAAACTAAATAGTTGCAGGTATATAGTATCGAAAATGTATACACACATAAAAGTGGCTTTTCTAAAATGCCAATAAAAGAGATTTTCTACTTGATATCTTTAATTTCTAAACTTTGCTTACATTCAATTCACGATAAAAAGGTTTACAATTCACTTCAACCGCTATTACTTTTGCTACATCTGTGACCACCCAATTCACCCCAATTGTGAACTCATTAGAAAGAAAACTCAAGTAGAAAAACTACTTAGTTTTCTTCTTTAATGCCTAAAGAATCACTGTACCAAATTTAAGTCTCCTAGATAAATGGGAAGTAGGAGAATTAGTGATGAGTTAATGAGTCAGTTAGTGAAGGCTTTGCATTTTTTAGGTATAGATGTTTCTAATGGGAATAATAAACACACAGGGGATATTACAAAAAGTATTTATTCATACCTAATGTTCTACATCTATAAAACAGTAAATATAAACAGTAATTATATTTGTACAAACTTTACAAATTACAATTTATATAAAATACATAATGATTATGGGGCAATAACAGATAACCTGCTTTTTCATTATGGCTAAGATCCATGGCAATCTATGTGTGTTTTAATTTATAAAAAAACATTACTTTCGTATAATTTTATAAAAAAAACACTTAAGTTAAAAAATTACACAATAACTTTATAATTCTAAGTAAATGATTGATTAAATGGCACTTTATTTGAACAATCGCTGGTTATATTTGTTTATTCTTGGTCTTAAAGGAAACACCGGCTTTTCTTAGTTTGGATGGTTAATTCTTCATTCAATAACTTTTTATTGCTAATTCGTTAAATCAAGTTTATAACCAAAGCAACCTCAATAGCGTTAATTTAATAAAAGTCAGTTATTTAAATAAAATAAATTGTGGTAATACAATTGATGTAATAATTCCTCATCAAATGACATTGAATTTAAGTGTTTTTAAAGTTGTTCGGGGAACTTTTGTTTTTAAGTTTTAGGAAAATGATTTTAACAGAAAAAAAGAAAAACTGTTTATAATTGATGTCTTAGAAATTTTAAAATACAAACTTTTTACCATAAACATTTTTGACTATCTATTTTTAGGTATTGTGAGTTTGTTAATTTAAAATGTTAAGCATAACAATGAACAATTTTCTCATTTATTTAATTTTAGTTAAATAATCTTTTTTTAACCATTAAAAACCCAAACGTGCCATTGTTAAGACCAAGAAACATTTAATGGCAACAATTAAGAGAGTCATATGTCCACAAAATTTGATCATGTTTCATTTTATTTAACAGTAGTACATGGCAAGCAATTGAGCACTAAAATTGTAGTTCTTCCATTAGTATTACTAAGCATGGATACTTTTTATTTGTTAACTATTTACAAATTATATTAAAATTCTATTTAATCACCCCATGCTAAGACAACACTAAATGGCAAGATCACAGTTTGAGAAGTTCATAATATTAACTAACGTATACGTTGTCGTGGGTTTTATTTTGGAACAATATAAGTTTTGATTACATTAAACATATTTACATCGAGTCTTACACTTATTCACGTTTTATATACGATTCGTAAATAATTATATTCAAGTTAAACAGAACACTAGTTTGTACGATTTACGACGATTATTTACACGAACTCTTCGAGAGAATTTGATATACAGTCAAGTATATTAGCGTTCCAAGTAATTTTTATCTACAGTATTTCACTTGTCTTCTAACAAAGTCCAAGACACACTTTGCACTCAGTCACTTTTCGCGCTTCCTATTGCTAAGGTCGAGTTTATAAATAAATCTTACATAAAAAATTACAGTTTTGATTTTTGGGAAAAACTTGTTTAATTTACAAAGTACGTATTTTGTCAGAAGGTATTTAAATAATTTAAATTTATTTAAAACTCTTTAACTGACCGACCGAGTGTATCCTCAATTAGTTCTTCAAAGAAATCTACATTGATTTTTAACAACTTGGTTGGTAACACATGGCTGGTAAGACTAACACAATTTTCAGGAAGTTTGTTATCATTAGGATTAAATAACCATTTAAGAACTATCTTCGAGCGATTCACTTGATCGGTCCAAAATAAATACGCTTTGGAGGGTCATTAGATCCTGAGTTCTGAATCCGTTGTCCTTTGTCGGACATGGTGTGAGGTAGGCACTCCGGGCGTGACGAGGGGGGATATTGAAGGAGACCTTGTCGCCAGGGGGGAAAGGGAAGGGGAAAAACTGGGAGACATGGCTGTCGACGTACTAAAACCACCCCCACTGGCATCATGACTGATGGGGGACCTGGGTAGTAACAGCATCTGCGGGGGCGCCACGGAGCTGTGGTGGGGGTTGCGTGCTGACAGCACGGGTGCCGCTATTGACCGAGGAGCTACTGAGGTCAACAGAGGCGGGGGAACAGTCTTAACTACAGGCGGGGCACAGGTCTTGCTCTTTCCACTGGACGCACCACTGTTGCCACTCTTCACTGAGGCCGCGTCATCTTTTAACCTGGCTATTTCAGAGAAGACGTGCGCTAAAGGTTGGTATTGGGGTCCCCAGTCGAGTAGGTAATCCCAGTTATAGCTCCCTGTGAGCTCTTCTTCACTATGTACAATCGAGCTCAACGACCCTGTCATGGAAGGTTGGTGAGTGCCATTAGGAACATCTCCGAAACCTCCCAGGACCATCACATGATCCACCGCAGCACCCAACGCGCCCGTACTTCCTCCTCCGACTTCTTCCGTACTGCTGCCTCTCTCACTCCCACTGACATCGTTCAACTTAGCATAAATTAGGTTAGTGATGTCGTTTTCTCCTCCGGCATCTTCATCAAACATGTGGAGACCGTCTATCGGAACACCTTGGTGATGCATCAGCCCGTCTTTGCTACTTCCAGCTACGAGACTTTCTGAGTGTCTTCTGGACGCTGATGATGTTCCTTGAGTGTCTACAATTCCTAATCGAGCGAGGTATTCTTGTGTATTGTGTACAGATACGTCAGAAAGGTTGTCTTCATCATCAGGATTTCTGTGCAAGCCTGATTCTCGTTGTAAGGGTCCCTCATTGATCATACGAATCTCTTCATCTTCAACATCTTCACCGTCCTCGGCAGACCCTCTTCCACTGGAGCCCGATTGCTCTGATCCGGATAGTTCAGATGTTGTTGCAGCACCTGAGTTTGAACTGCTTGTGTTATTATTTCTGTATGTTGGTATTTCATCATATTTAGGAGGTCCGAATTGACTAGCAGGTCCAGCCACACCACCTCGAATAGGAATTGTATCGAAAGCACTAGGATCAACAAAAGTGTCAGTACTTTGTCCACCACTCAGCCCCGGTTTGTTAACTTTTTTATGTCGTCTATTTCGGACATGTAGGAATAGGAAAACAGCACCAAATGCAAGAACTATCAGTATCAAAGCAATCAACAAACCCATGGCCCAGTCAGCTATTCCACTACTGGTTGCTGCCAAAGCCGCGTCATTTCCGCTCCCAGTTACAATGATGTTGGATTCTGTGTCAGCGAGTGGGTCGAACGAGATCTCAACAACACTCATATTAGTGAGCGAACCTTGTCTTCCAGAACTTGCTGTTACCACTAAACTCACGTCTTGTTTTATATCAAAACCTGAATCAAACTTCTTCTTTACCATCAGTACTCCTGTAGTTCTGTTGATTTTGAAATACGGGTTCTGTGATGTCAATTGATAAACTATTCTTCCATCTGGCCCTTTATCTCTGTCAGTAGCAGTCACGTGACCTACAACATAGCCAACTGGTAGATCGTTTCCTCCAAGCACAAATCTGTATGTCCTTTCTGTAAATTGAGGATGGAATTCATCTCTGCTTTCAATTTCTATTCTAACTCTTACTCTTGCAGTTCTACCTCCAATATCACTTGTGGTCAGAGTAAAGGCATACCGATTCCTACTCTCGTAATCAAATACAGCATTGGTCACTATTAGACCTGAAACAGGGTCAACACGGAATAGTTTCCAAGAATCTTCGATGTCAGTGAAACCTGATGCAGCAGCAGAAACGATGGAATAGTTCAACTGGCCGTACGCTCCTCTGTCTATATCTGTAGCTCTAGCTATGAATACTGGTGTTCCGACAGCTTCATTTTCACCAACAAACTCAAGATATTCTGACACAGGAAAATGTGGGGTGTTGTCATTCTCGTCTTGTAAAATTATTTTGATTGTCTCTACGGTTGAAAGAGGAATTTCTGGTGATTTGGCGAGATCTGTGGCTCTGACAACCAAGGAGTATTCCGAGGGGCCGACGTCAAAGTCAAGATGTTTCTTCACAGTGACAATCCCACTGACAAGGTCGACGTCGAAGAGATCTTCATCGTTTCCAGATATTATGTCGTAGCGGAGATCAGAGTTCGGAGGTAGATCAGCATCATTAGCAATCAGTTGCACAATGGAATGTCCAATAGAGACACCTTCTGATACGTAGACATTGGGTTCTAGGTTGACAAACTTTGGTGCGTTATCGTTGGCATCTTCAACCATGACGTGGATGTGAATGGCTGAAGAGTTGTCTGCAAGAGGGTTTGAGGTGACTTTCAGCATGTACAAATCCTTATTCTCTCGGTCTAGATCCTTCAGCAGTAGGAGCTCCCCTTGAGGACTGAAACAAACAAATTTTATTTCTTAGATCTCTTGTAAAATTATTTTAAATCTTCTCAAGCCACAAAATTCATGAACGATTTAAAACCATGTTTGGTTTTCCTTTAGGCTGTTTTTCTTCTTTTCGTTTAAAGTCTATTTTCACTTCATGGGTATAAAAGAATATATTTTTTGGATAATAAGACTATACAAATAGACGTAAGCTATAACACATTGCTAGATAATAAATGTGTTTAACTAGACAACAAATCTGTAAAACCCATTAGAAAAAAAAAACAATTTCTGCCATAGTGATAGTACGGTTATTTTCTAAATGATTTAGCTTTCTAATATTTACCTGAGCATCTGGAAAGCGTTGTCCGGATCACCGTCTATGATGGTGTATTGAGGGTTTGTCATGAACTCTCTTATTCCAGTGTTGCCCATCTTCAGCAAACTGCTGCCTTTCTCAGCCTTTTCATTCACCATGATCCTGTTTGGAAAAAGAACAATTTTTGCTTTAAAAATGTTGTATAGTTTTTAATTTATAACTTTAAAAATTATCTTGGTTGGTAGGTGTAATGCTGTATAATAGTCCTAGTGGAGTCATATGAAAGATTTGAATTTCAATAATAATAATTATGTTTTAAACATGCGATAATGTAATAAAACAACTATCTAAAGTTTCTTACACAACTGTTTTTAGACACAACTGTTTTTAGATACAACGGTAAAAAATTAAATTGCGTTGAATCTTATTTATGTAAAAATGCTTCACAGTTCACATGGGATAAAATATTAGGTACTGTGTTAAAGTAGGTTAAATTAAACCTTCCTAATATCATCATATCTTGTCCAAACCAGTGATGTGCGATACGGGTCAATGTATCGATACGTATAGGAGCGTGGTGTATCGATACGTGTATCGTAATCGGACAAAAATTCAAATTCAAATATATTTATTTGTGATAATACAAGATCTTGGCTTCGCCAAGTTTGCAAAACTTGTCGCCGAGGTCCAATTGATTCACAAAAATTTAACAAACAAAATTTAAATTTTTTTCTTTTTTACTTTTTAACAAATATAAATATTTCTAGCTCTACTAATTCCATGGCGGTTTGTGGCAGGCACCTATCTAAGTTATACATAATAATGGCAGCAGAAATGTAAAATTCTAAATATGGCTTGAAAAATTGCTGATTTATAATCAATTATTAATGATAATTAATTGAACCAAAAGGTACTTATAATGATGGTGGGTATACCACTTACACATTAAATAATACGAGAGGTCGTCCAGTGGTCGAAACTCGACCAAAAATATGTAATGTACTCACTTAACTATTTTCACCCCATACTGTAAATGGACACATGTGATTGGAGTTTCCTCCATTTGTTTTGATTTTCTGTTTATATTTCGTTGTTATTTCGTAACCAGCATAGCAACGCATAAGATCCATGTTAATTTTTTAAAACTTTTAAACTTATTTTTTGTGCTTATCTTTGAGCCTATTTAAATTTATAAAGGGATTCTGCACACCTACAGGAAAATAGCTTTCCAACGGTATGCGTAGATTTTCCCTACGATGCACACGAGCTGAGAAAAAAGGTTTTAAAGAAACATGCTTGCCTATTAATATATAGATAGATAATATGGATAATGAGTGACCCCAATTCCATTAATGGTGGCCCTAGTTTTGAGGTTATTCGCAAAACATAGCTGAAAATACATGTTTTATCAGTGTTTTTGAGGATGGTAGGGTAAAATATCAAATTTCCACTACTACTTTTGAGGGGAGGAAGATGGGAAGACAAATTTCTTACCTTAAAAATGAGATAAATAAACAATACGATATTCAATACGTTATTGGCTATAGGTGTATCGATACGGGCATATCGATACACTCCTACGTATCGATACAAAATATCAATATTTTGCGGTCCTTGTATCGATACGCACATCACTAGTCCAAACAAAATAACCTACATATTTGGAGGGAACCCTCTGAACCCCTTTTCTAAGTTGAGCGCATAGAACATTATTTATAGTTAACCATTTTTAAAACAAATTCAGCAAAATCCATACATAAGGTAAAGAAACGATAACTTCATCTTTTATCAAACCCAGGTGCATTACCTGAACTCGTCATGTCCGAAGATGTTGCCGTTGCCAGCATTGTTGATGTGCAATCTTAAGGCGGCTGTGGCTGTGAGGGGAGGTGTGCCGGTGTCGGTAGCAACCACAATAAGATCCACAACCTGGTCGCCGGGATTGGTAGGAACCACAGCACTGCGGTTCACCTGGATTGCTCCGCTATGCTCGTCTATGGAGAGCCCTCGAACCGGACTCAGAAGCGAGTAACGGATGTCTGCGTTCACTCCTGAGTCTTTGTCGGTCGCATTCACCGTTAGAACTATCGAACCCATCTCCATAGAATCTGAAAATTCGTAAAGTCAATTTAGATGAATCAACAATGTAGAAATTGTCTTGGCAGTGACCTACAACCGTTAAGTTGGTGAGGTTGAATTTAACGTGGGTGTAATACACAAAATAGAGGATAGTGGACTTGATAAAGAGCATTGAGTTTAGAAAAGCCGATAGTATTTTATGGTTTTGAAACAAATAATTAAACTACAGCGAGGTGTAAGGTCAACTGTGAATTTTTGCTACAACTTGTGGAAAGGTAATTTGGTGACATTGTTACTTGGGACTCAAGTAGATAGAGAATTGTGATACACAAAAACCCACAGCCTCTGCTTTTAGAACCATTTGGGCTTCATTTAACGAAATAAAACCTTAAATCCACAGAAATCATCTTAACCTAGATGGTAAAATAAAAGTGTACTCACCCAAAAGATTAGTTTTGTAGGAGGTTTGGCTGAAGACAGGAGCATTGTCGTTGTCGTCCGTCACTTTGACAGTCAACACAGTTTCCGCAGTGTGGGCAGTGTCGGAAGCTGTTATCTTTAGCCTATATTCCTGTCTGGTCTCAAAGTCCAGTCGTTTGCCGAGGATCACCTTTCCGCTGAACCTGTCGATGCTGAACACTCCTTCCAGCTTCGGATCTTCCTGCAAACTGTAGGTCAGGGAGGGGTTTGTGTCCACATCATTGGCCGACACTGTTGTGATCACACTACCAACTTCTTTCCCTGAAAGGAAAACCAAACAGTTATCTACTGATGTTATATATATTTATCCCTAATTATTCAAGATGGGAATGATTAAAGGAATGGAACGAATGGAATGGAATGGATTTTAGGAATGGTCTAAATGTTGCTAATATTTTTAGGATAAGATGATGATTTTGTAAATTTACACATTCCCTTTGATGGATTGGAATAATGTGAATTTTTATACCTGGTTTTACATAAAAATACTACTATCCTGATTAAATCCCAGTAGCAAGTTGTCAAAGCAGCAGAGTTGACCCTTGCAAAAGTGTTTTAACCATTTAGAAAACGTCTGGACTGAACTAAATATCAATTAAAAAAATGATTTTAAAAGTTCCAACAAAAAAACAACTAATTATTGCAATAAGAAACTGTAGATACGTAGAAATGAAACGATCAAAGTTTAATTGTTGAAACATTTCTATCAGTGGTAGAATCTGTATGTTCGTAGTGTCGGACAAAGCGAGACAGCAGAGTGCTGTACCCTACTGACAGTAATGGCTGCTGTAATTTACGATGGAACCAGTTACAATATTAGACATTGATGCAGTAGTAAAACATCTCACTTACGATTTCTCTACTGTCTTCCAACTGATATTCGTTGTGTGAATAAAAGTGTCAATGTGTTCTATTGATTTCGTGTTATTCAGTTAAAATGTTAAGTAATGTTGTAGTAAGTTCAATTGTAGTAGGGTTGTAGTAAGGTCAAATTCATGCAAGTTTGGACAAAGTGGAAATTTACAGAATGATTAAAATTGAAATCCTAACAAAAACTTTTACTGAATAAGCACAAAATAGTTACTCATGCTATCTTTACATGTAAAAAAAGAACAAATCCTACCTCGTCCCAGTGCGAATAAATTTGTATGTATACATATTTAAGAAATCTTACTTCTTAATCTTATTCTTAAATCTTACATCTTAAATCATCACTCATGTTTTAAGCATTTTCACGTTAGTTACAATTAGTCACAATACCTTCGCTGATGCTGATGACACTGTGAGGAGGAAATGTCGGTTGGTTGTCATTGACGTCGACAATGCTGATCCGAATTGTGGAAGTTCCGGTGAGTTGTGGCATTCCTTCGTCAGTGGCTATCACAGTCAAGCGGTACATGTCCCTGATCTCCCGGTCCAACACTATGTTAGTCTTCACAAGTCCAGAGAACGGAGGCTCGATGACAAAGGCGTTGTCGTGGTTACCATCTACAATGTGGTAAAGCAACCTAGCGTTTGCTCCCTGATCCATGTCGGTGGCGGATACCTGTTGGAAAATAACGAGGTTTTGTTTAGCAGCATAATAAACTTTTGTTGAGAGACCTCAAATGTAGAGAAAACTGTCCTGCCCAAAAAGGGTAACCTGGGTGCGTGACATAGTTGATGAAAAATATAAAACTGATGTCAATAAACAACAAATATGTAACCCAAAAATTTAACTACAACACCCTTAGAAATATAAAGGGGGAAACAATTATTGGTTCTTTTGCCTCACTTATATTTGGTATTTAAAAATCCTCATACTTCAAAGTTACAAAATAACATTTATGGATGTTTTAGTAGATCATAGGTAAAACTATTTTGTAGTCCAAGTACTTGCCTGCATCACAAAAGTTCCTTTGTTGTTTCCTTCCCACACGACAGCTGAGTATTGTTGCTGAGTAAACTTTGGTGTGTTGTCGTTCTGGTCTATCAAGTTGATCAACACTTGGGCATATCCGTACAGTGGAGGACCCGTAGAACCCTCCCCTTGTGCTACCACCACCAGCTTCATCTGCGGAGTATCTTCAAAATCCAAACTGGTGGAGTCGCGCACTCTAATCACTCCAGACATTGTTATCTCAAACGCACCATTTTCATTTCCTGAACCCAAGCTGTAGGTGATTCTTTGCCGCCGACCGTCGCTTCTTACCGCTGAGACCTATGAATGGATGTTAGTTAGATCAAGATGTTTTTATTCTTATTGAATGGCAATAGCATGGAGTATTTAACTATTGGTTCAAAAATGTGTACTTAACAACGCTAAATTTTAGTTATATACCTTGGTTTCCACACATTTATTAATTTAAAAATATTCTAAAAGGATACTGTTCCAAGAAACAGGACGTAATTGAGTCTTTTTAAAATTACAGACACTGCCAGAAATCATTTGTTTGTGAAAATAAACTTAAAGGGCATATTTAGTGATTGTTTTCAAAATTTACTATTGCAATGCTAAAAAAAAGGTTCAGTGTCTTTCTCCATAGATCTGAGGTCAAATAACATATCATGTAATCAAATGTGCTGCAATTTGTAGAAATGTAATTTAGTAGGTGTAAGTAAAAAAAAGTTTGTTGCTAAACTATATTCACAACACTACAGTTGAAGTTATAAACTAATGGACGACTCAATAACTTACCTGAAGGACTTCTTTCCCTACAGGAGAGTTCTCAGCCATGTGCACAACATAGGTGGAATTCTGGAACCTGAGGACTTGGGTGTTCTCCGAACTCTCTCCGACTTTGATCTCTATCAGACCCGTTGCGCTCTGCGGAGGATTGCCCTTGTCCGTGGCCAAGACCTCCAAGTGGAACAGTTTCCCAGACTCCATTGCAAGGCTGGAAGCTGCCGTGACGGAGCCAGAGTTCGGGTTGATGCGGAACTTGTTCATCGCAGGCTCGTTGATGAAGCTGAAGACGATGTCTGCGTTGGTGCCTTCGTCGTTGTCTACAGCCGTGATGTGCAAGATCTCGTGGCCGGGCTGAGTGTACGCAGGGACTTCAGCTGTGAAGGGATATTGTGCAAACACTGGCTTGTTGTCGTTTACATCCCCTATGGTGATCTGCACGGGAACCTTCTGTGACCGAGCATCGTACCTCCCTCCGTCCGTCGCAACCACTTGGAACTCATAGACACTCTGGCGCTCAAGATCAAACACCCTGGAAATCAAGGGGTTGGTTTTATATACATATAGTAACTTTTATATACAGTGTCATTTGATAAAAAAATTCTATGTATTGCACGGTAAATATTTGAATAAACAACTATGCTACATAATGTAATAATTGTCAAAAGCAATGAATAATAAAGTTTACAGTTATGATTGTTGCCAGCAAAAGACTGGGTAGAATTGCAGATAAATGAACACTGTATCTGGCCTAATGGAGGTGTAAAAAGAAAATTTAAAAATTGATAAAAGATATACCTACTTACTATATTTACAATTATTAGGGAAATAAAAAAAAAATTGAATAAAAGTTTCACCATTACTTTTAGGGACCTAAATTAGTCATTTTATTTTGTGTCAAATTTATATTCCTAAAATTATAAACATACAATTTTTTTTTAAACTACTTTACCTTCTTGTTTTGAAAATGAATACCAACTTAAAATTTAAAATTGATATCATATTTATTTAATTAATGTACAAAAACTAAAAATATTGCACCAGTACAAACAAACAAAAGTAAGAGACAAATGACAATGTGCAATATTGTTCTTTCTTAAACTCATAAACCAGGAGAAAACGTAATTTCCTTGTCTCCTCTGTCATTACCAGTAATTTCGTAAAGCATTAAAAAATGCATTTGTCTTTTGGAAAAGCGATATTCCGAGAAAAACAATTTGGTGGCAAGGACGGTGCAATTTCGATTGTAGACCTCACTAATGATTATGTGCGTGGCACGCTATCCGCTATCGCCATATTCAGTAGGCCTACATTCCACGTAGCAGAGGGAGAAAAAACATAAACATTCCGGGCTCCGGTATTCCGCTCAATTCGAATATATTAACTATCGGCAGCGTAAATGCAATACAAGAGGCCGTGATAATGGGCGCGCCATCTTGAATGCGTGTGAGCCGACGCTGAGCGCGACGCGGCGCGGCGCCCCTCGAAAATAACAAACGATCTTCCATTGTGTGCTGCTGCTTACCCGTGTACACTAATGGCCTCCAGATAATTTCACGAATCGTGGGTATAAATATTCGGATATACGATCAAATCGAGTCGGTTCTTGATTCGTATTGACGGAGAAACGCGGAACACAATTGGAGGTTATGTCGGGAGTCAGCAACAACGTTTCGACGGGTTCCATTTTCTTCACTATGACAAGCGGCAGCTCCTTTCCGGGAACTAAACGAGACAAGGGACGAAGAACCGAAGAACGGCAATTACACGGGCAGCGACGTCCGGCAGAAGACACTATCGTCGGGGATCGAGCGGCGAATATGTCGATGAAATATGGATAGCGACGACAATAAGGCAGCAGATATGAAATCGGAAGAGAAGTGGTGACAAGTGAATTATCGGTTATAACGCGGCATTCGTTACATTTAGGTACATAATAAATGTTTGGAAGTCACAATGGACCTCGGGACAATGGGTGTCACTCGGCCTACCCATTGTATCTGAGGTTTCGATTGCGATGAAAACGCATACATCGAGTTCCGAGTCGCAAAAACAAAGCCGCACGCCGCCGTTCGTCGTTAGTTATCGAGTACAGATATGGAATAAGCATAATGAGCGTCTGAAATGTTCCCGCTAGAAAAATGAAAAGCCCGGTCCGAGGGTCCTACACAATGCCGCCGCGCCGTGCCGACCCTTTATGACAATGGTGATTGTGTATCCGTGATTAATTGTAATCCTCTCGATTATATAATTATACTCTGGCTTGGTTGTCTTGTTGCTGTCGATCAATTATTGACTTTTGTTTATTTTGTTTTGATCGACTAAATTCCGTGGGAGGGAAAATCTTCGACATTCTTTTGGCTGTTCAGGATAAACTTCTGAAACCTATTACATCTCAATGCAAAACTGGAAATATCCGTTGCTTGAATCACTCACAGTAGCTTAACAACTAAAATGAAAATCAATCAATCATGTGATCATATAATATTCTCCAAGGAATATTCTCAAGTGTTTCATGTTTTAGTCCATTCAAGAGAAATGTAAGTCTAAAATTTATCATTCTACCAAATCCCAACAGCTCCATCAGTATCAGAAACATGCACGGTTGCAACTCACCCAGCCGTAGTGATGACCCCGGTCCTATTGTCGATATGGAACAGCCACTGACTCTCGTTGGCCAGAGAGTACACCAGCTTTGCGTTGACTCCAAGGTCAGCGTCTGCAGCCTTCACCGTCAGCACTGTGCTGCCGACCTCTATGTCCTCTGGGATGGTCGCCGTATACCGCAGCTTGGAGAACCTCGGATCGTTGTCGTTCTGGTCCTCCACGGTGACTGTGATGTTACACGAGCCGCTGAGAGGACTGGGACTCCCGCGGTCCTGCGCGGTGATCACCAGCTGGTAACGTGGCTGGCTCTCCCTGTCTAGAGGACGGGCGCTCAACTCTCCCGTGTGGAGGTCTATGCTGAACTTGTTACCGATGTTCCCGGCTGAAATATTGAAAAATTCCTTTAGAGAAAGAGTTGTAACTAGAGGTAATTAATAGCAAAAAGAAGCTAAAGCTGGAACTTTGACACAGTTTGGTAGCTACATAAAGAGGTGTTAAAAAGCGAATCAAAACAAAAATCATTGAAATTAATTCGTTTAGGATTTGTTTCTAAATCACGTCAAATTCCTGGAATGTAAAATTGTTACAGATGCACATTAGAATATTACCATGCAGCTTTGGTTTCAAACAATGTTTATGTATTAGTACTCACCAGTAATGCTGTAGGTGATCTCCCCGTTTGCCCCGGCGTCTGCGTCAGTAGCCGTCAAGGTGTGAACGACAGCCAAGTCACTATTCTCCGGGACACTGAGAGGATAACACGCTCCAGGTCGGAACTCCGGCGCGTGGTCGTTGACGTCAGTCACGCGGATGGAGATGGTCGCCACGTCGTAGTACAGCTTGTCCATCACATACACGGGGAACACGTAGTGGTCTCTGGTCTCTCGGTCCAAGGGCGCGGCGAGAGTCACGGTGCCTCTCTGCGGGTCCACGGAGAACCTGTTGTCCGCTACTCCACGCGGCATGTGGAAGCTCAGGTTCCCAGACTTCGTGCCTGCAAGAGAGAAATTGTGTTATAGACAAGTCAATATCTCGTGGATCAGCTATATTGCTGTGTAATTCTTAACAGAAGCTTGTAAATCAGACGATGCACCGTCATTAAATAAAATACACTATAAACTTGTTGCCGATGTCCAAACAACGCGATACTTCGATGTTAACTGCAATATTAGAAACCTAACACACGGTTAGACTGTATACCCCAGAATCATCATATTTGTATTTATCACACCGATACTGAAGCTGAATTCTTTGTAGGTTCCGGTGGCGAAGGAGTAGGCCGAGGATAGCCCATTGTCTCATTGTACAGTCGGCACGGCCCGTGTACATATGCGACCGTATCGAGTACAATGACTACAATTAATATTAATTCAGCGAAGCCGTGCAAAATAGGTGCATCGCAATCACGGCAAAACGCGCGATAAATTATCGGCCAGATTCCATCTGACTATTTGCATCGATGCTCGAGGTAGCGGATAATTTCGTTTTGTATACAATCGTATCTGCGCTCTCTAGGTGTAAACAGTGTTCCGTTTATCTCGGGCGAATAATTTTCACACGATTTATCGCCCCAGGCTATAATGGGATAATACTATTCAATATCTATTGTATATGCCAAAATATTAAGATGTATTCCGACGATGCAGCGCGCCTGGTCGTCAGTGGCGGGACCACCTTTATACAGACATTAAACACTCGGACGAACCACCGACCCTGCGATCCATTACAGTCTTATAACTATAAAAAGAACCGGTAAGTCCGCTGAAAATAAGAGCCGATTGTAAAGAGGTGAGATGGTTCGGAAAGCGTGGTTGAGCCTTTTAATAATTCATAAAAAGAAACTCAAAGAGGGTGATAACACGGTACTTGATAAATGGAGGCAAGAGCGAGTCGTTTGGATATTTATGAGCAGCGCGTTGTCGGCAGTGCCTACGATCAGAGTTGCTGAAACGCTGAAACTAATGCGAACAAAATACTAATGAAGAAACATAGAGGTATACAACAATATTGCGTTGAAGGTATCTAAGCTAATGACAAATCACAAATTATAAAATGTACATCAAAGTCACTAAAATACTTAGATAAAAATGTTTGACTCACCACTCTCCTGACCTGTTCCGGCAGCCACTTTGATGACGACACTCCCGATGGCTGCGTCCTCCGGTATGTGGGCATGGTAAGTGGCGCTAATGAACTTCGGTGGAGTTTCCGTAGACCCGTGAACCAGCAAAGTCAACGACAGAGTGTTCTTCTTCGCCGTGGGACTCCCGTGGTCACTAGCAGTGATGTTCAGGTGGTATTTTGGTAAAAGTCCGTTGGCTGACGAGACATCTAAAGATCTCGCCAAGGTCAAAACACCGGTGTTATATCCGAGTGTAAACTTTCCATCTTCATTGCCAGCAGAGATTGTGTACGTTATTCTGGCGTTCTCTCCAGAGTCCTTGTCTACCGCGGTGATTTGACAAAGCGAGTAGCCAACCTTTGAGTCCTCCATTACAGTGACGGTCTTGGTGGCCGGCGACACGAACACGGGGGCGTTATCGTTGACGTCTTTGATGACTATACGGACAGTCAAAGAAGAGCTCAGTCTATCCGAGACGTTCGAGGCTTGGTCCGTCACTCGGACGACGAGGGTGAAGACTTCTATCAGTTCGAAATCCAGAGGAGCCATCAGAGTCAGGGTCCCTGTAAGAGCGTCGACGGAGAATTGAGGCTCTGACGTTTGAGGCCACACGTCCACCAGGCTGTACCTCAGCTCACCGTTAAAACCGGCGTCCGCGTCACTCGCGCTGAAGTTCCAGACAGCAGACCCGACGGCAGCATTTTCCGCCACCTCTATGGTCATCAGGTCCTTCTCCCACTTGGGCGCGTTGTCGTTGATGTCTGATAACTCCACGCGGACGACGACGGCGCTGCTCTGGGGATTGTTGCTGGTGCTCGTGTCCAAGGCTCGGACCTCCAACTTGTACTCTGGCTGCTTCTCTCTATCCAACTGTCTCGCCACGACCAGCGATCCCGTGCTGCGGTCCATGTCGAAAGCACCGTCGCTGTCTAGAGGCGACATGGACGTGAGTGTGTACATGACGTGACCGCCTCCCGCACGTCCTGACACCAGGTTGTCACCGTCCGACGAGTCTGACGTCACCACGTTACCCACCACGTAGCCCACGGGCACGTCCTCTCTGATCTGAAACAGTCACAGACGCCAAGCGTAATGTAGTGGATTTATAAAACATAGCATATTGTGTAATTTTTGAACTGATACATCACAAATTTCGGATTAATAGAGTGTAATTAATATGCAATTAAAATTCAAATGTCACCAGCAAAATATTACCTTAAAGAAGAGAGAATGTCGCATTTCCATATTCGAATAAGTGGGCTATCCAATTAATAGGCCACGGGCCAAGTATTATCCAAAAACACAGTCCACAGTCGCGGAATTGGCGAGTAACGGAGTTGTCCAGTAGAGAGCTCGGTTTCTGGCAATTACATCGGGTGCACCGTGGACGTAATTCAACGTGTAATTGTGAGAAACGGCAGTTGATTTGTTTAAGTGGAGGCTGCCGAAGAGATCCGGACCGCGCGAATTTCACGTGTTGTTTTGACAGAATGGAAGACACAAAATAAAACAAACGGGACTCAAAAAGTAACAAAGTTGGGAAAAATCCGGTCGAGGCGGAGTTTTTTTTATTTTTGCGGCCGGGTCGCATAAATTCGGCGCGAGATGCAGTCGCAAGGGCTGTCACCGGGGCATTACATTTGCAAATAGTCGGCAAAGAATTCCATTTAAAATAGGATTGTTTAATTCGGTCCACCTGTCATACCGGGCTTTGTGAGGTAACGAGGCTGCTGTCAGTCGCCCAGAGGTTTTGACGCCGCGGTCGCTGACGTGAATACTGTATAAACGATACCGGGTAAACAGCCTCACAAGTGCGCTGCATCGCCACTCGCCAGTGCCGTTGGTCGACTTTGAAAACAACGGTAGCGGACCATTCAAAATCACCTAATAGTTAAAAGACACGGAAGTAAAGATGAATTAATTTCAACGTCAAATGAAAATGTGGAATTTTAATCAGCGTTGACAAAAAGTGGCAGATTCGCAACAAGTCGGGGGCGTCACCAATAAATAACATGGTATCTCCGTATTAAACTTGACATTGGTCAAGCAATTAACAATTAATTAGTAAAGAAGCGTTGTACAATCCCTCGATATGAAGAATGTGCCCAAACAAAACGATCGGTTATCTCTATCCTTGTCAAACACACGGCGATGTATATGTCTCTCTCCTTCTAGCCAAGAAACCAGTCCCTAGGTATTTCGCCTAATTGCGGCTCCACCGGCTTCTCTGCCCCCTCTCCCCCTCACTATCATTCTCTCTTTATCTCTCCCTCTCTCTCGCCGCTGAAATTGGGTGAAACATTTTTGACACATCTACGAAATGAACAATCACAGCATCTCGAGCCCCAAGTGATGACTAGACATTCCGACCATTCGCCTTGGGAATCGATGCTTATTGCCGGTGATGTGGTGTGATTAGAGTGCTATTGTGTGACACAAAGTTATGAGGCAGTAAGGGGGATCTTGGTGGAACAGTAAATGCGGGAGACGCTGGATAAAAGTTGCATGGACAATTGTCCGAGTCGTTATTATTGAAATATTATTCAAATCTAGCGATAAAGAGAATTGAATTGACAAAGTAATTCTTGTTCCTCGAAATCCAATCTAAAATAAATCACGCCAAAACACTTTATGAATTTGGAAAACTTTCAATGTATCAAACAAACAATTTAACACATCTACCGATAGTTTAAATACGTCACGACGCAACCATGCACACGAACAACTGAGCATGCTAGGTTTATCACAGGAGACAGTCTTACCTTGAACACTAGGCTGGAGCTCGTGAACGTCGGTCGGTTGTCGTTGAGATCCAATACTTCCACCCGCAGAACTCTGACAGTTTCCTTGGGCGGAGACCCGCTGTCCCGGGCCGCCACTGCCAGGCGGTAGATCGCACGCTCCTCATGGTCCAACACTGTCCTGGTCCTGATGAGACCACTGACCTGATCCACCGTGAACACTCCATGTCCGTCCGTGTCTCCTCCTGAGGACAATGAGATGTTATAATATGTTCTGACAATTTTAGTTCAATATGATTTTCATGGATGGATCGTGCTCTGTGCTATTCTGGGCCATTCTATGAAGTGAATGTCGTCTGCAAAAGGTGACCCCTATGGAACCAGAACACTAACACAATTGAAGTTGACTCCTAGCATCAAAAGGTGGAGGCCCAGTATTTAAATTCAAGATTCATTCTTTGTCAAAGGCATTTAAGGAACATAAGCTGAAGGTATTTTCTTGTATAAGGTTGAAGTAAGAATTGCGTTTTTATTAGAAATCAGACTACTGCCTAAAATTATGATCTATCAAAATTGTAAAAGTTAGGTTATACAGTTAACACAAGAGCTTCAATTTTAGTAATCAAACTAAGACCAAGGCTTCACCAAGAGACAATTTTAATTTTTCATGCTTTAAAGGATCAAGAGTCGCCATTTGAATTAACTAACCATTTCAAAAGTTCGAACATTCACGTCCAGAAGACTTACCTTTGACGATGGAGTATGTGACGGATGCGTTGTACCCTTGATCTCTGTCCACGGCGCGCACTCTGACGACCTCTGTGCCTGGAGGCTGCTCCTCTCGGACACTGATCACATCCTCCTGAGGGTCCACGATGTCGGGAGCGTTGTCATTGACATCGGTCACCGTCACACGGACCGCGACCCGAGCACTCCGAGGAGGAGTTCCTTGGTCTCTCGCCTCGGCAACCAACTCATACTCACTCTTGGTCTCTCTGTCAAGTGGTTCTCGTGTGAAGATCTCACCTGCAAGAGAGTCAAAAGTGCATGTGTGATGTTAGAGAAAACTGTAAATGACTGAACAAGCTGACCAGATCACCTAGAAAAGGGGTTCTGAGTGTTGCTTTAATCGAAAAAAGTTCAACTCACTGCCACTGAGTTACTCTAAGATATCAATATTAATGGGAAGATGTCGTCCACAATAAGTACCAGTATAAACAGCGTATACGAGGTCAAAGAATACGTCAACACGTAAAATCAGTAGCATAAATGAATCAAGTGCTTTTATAATCTAAGATGCTCCTTCAACAAATCCCCAAGTATAACAGCTCCCTGCAACGAATGAGTTCATTGAACAGATTGCCTTAATACCTAATACTCAATCTAGATCGAATATAGATCGTCTAGTTTCCCAGTGTTTCGGCGTTTCAAGATAAAGAGCACTGCGCGGGTTCGTAGTTTTATTGATCTTCCAAACAAACACATTCCCATCAACTAAAATGGTGATTGGAAGTGTAGCGGTGGGCGGGGCGGCGGGGCAGGGGGCGTGCACGTCACTCTTGATAGATTGTTTGAAGCGTTATCAAGCTCGCTGCGTTCGGTTCCCATTAGACTACCCTTCACAGAGACTGGAGTCTGGGCCCTGGACTGTGGACCAGTGCAACTAACTAGGAAGAACAACCAAGAACCTAGTGTTGAAGACCATGGCAACTAGAGCAAGTGGTTAGCTAGCCGTATTGCCAGATAAGCACTTGAAGCTGGCTGTGTTGTCGGAAGAGAAGAACCAAGAACCTAGTGTTGAAGACCTTGGCAACTAGAACAAGTGGTTAGCTGGTTAGCTAGCCGTATTGTCGGATCAACACTTGAAGCTGGCTGTGTTGTCGGAAGAGAACAACCAAGAACCTAGTGTTGAAGACCATGGTAACTATAACGAGTGGTTAGCTAGCCGTATTGTCGGATCAGTACTAGAAGCTGGCTGTGTTGTCGGAAGAGAACAACCAAGAACCTAGTGTTGAAGACCATGGTAACTATAACGAGTGGTTAGCTAGCCGTATTGTCGGATCAACACTTGAAGCTGGCTGTGTTGTCGGAAGAGAACAACCAAGAACCTAGTGTTGAAGACCATGGTAACTATAACGAGTGGTTAGCTAGCCGTATTGTCGGATCAGTACTAGAAGCTGGCTGTGTTGTCGGAAGAGAACAACCAAGAACCTAGTGTTGAAGACCATGGTAACTATAACGAGTGGTTAGCTAGCCGTATTGTCGGATCAGTACTAGAAGCTGGCTGTGTTGTCGGAAGAGAACAACCACGAACCTAGTGTTGAAGACCATGGTAACTATAACGAGTGGTTAGCTAGCCGTATTGCCAGATGAGCACTTGAAGCTGGATGTGTTGTCGGAAGAGAAGAACCAAGAACCTAGAGTTGAAGACCATGGCAACTATAACGAGTGGTTAGCTAGCCGTATTGTCGGATCAGTACTAGAAGCTGGCTGTGTTGTCGGAAGAGAACAACCAAGAACCTAGTGTTGAAGACCATGGCAACTAGAACAAGTGGTTAGCTAGCCGTATTGTCGGATCAACACTTGAAGCTGGCTGTGTTGTCGGAAGAGAACAACCAAGAACCTAGTGTTGAAGACCATGGCAACTAGAACAAGTGGTTAGCTAGCCGTATTGTCGGATCAACACTTGAAGCTGGCTGTGTTGTCGGAAGAGAACAACCAAGAACCTAGTGTTGAAGACCATGGCAACTATAACGAGTGGTTAGCTAGCCGTATTGTCGGATCAGTACTAGAAGCTGGCTGTGTTGTCGGAAGAGAACAACCAAGAACCTAGTGTTGAAGACCATGGCAACTAGAACAAGTGGTTAGCTAGCCGTATTGTCGGATCAGCACTTGAAGCTGGCTGTATTGTCGGAAGAGAGTAACCTAAAAACTAGCTGTATCCTCGAAGCAGTTCAACTTTAAGTTGAAGTTGAAGTGTTTTTGGAGGGAAGGAACTAAGAAACAAATAGTGTTGGCAGAAGAGAGCAGGAAGCCAGCTGTAATATCGGACCAGCGCAACTAAAAGAAGCTGTTCATGTTGACGGATCAGCGCAACTTGCTAATCGTATTGTCGTCTGTCGAAAGAGAGCAACAAGCAATATTGTATAGTGCTATCTGCAGTTTAAGAAATCTTTACTTGGAGTTTTTAACCAGATAGATCAATGTTCTTGATACCGAATTGGCAAAAAATTTGGAGGAACACACTTCTACATATTCATGACACAAAATTAAATGAAAATTATGATGTGATAGTAAAAGGGTTGCGTGTTTTATAGTCCCTATTCGTGTTCAAGTTTTTTAGAAGTCTTATATTTAAGAAACTATCACAACATTCAAAAGACGTGGTTTTGAAATTGTTTTATGCAGTAAAAATAAATATTTAAAGATAAGTAACTAGAGTTTTTGGGTCTGATAAAATTATTCAATCATGAGTACTCAGAAGAAACGTCATCATTACGCGTGAAAACTGAAACTTTATCTCGTCTTCAGTTTGCAGATGCAGATACTCTTTGGAGTTTGAAATCCTGATGAACCTAAGTTATAATTGGGCAACGTGCCGCAAATAACCACCCGAATGCGATGAGTCCCAGCCAGGAATATTGCTAGTGTCATCTTTCGACACGGAATTTTAAAAGCATTCCCAGACCGGTCCACCCCGCTCCTGCTTTGTCAGATACTTTTTGTTTATCTTTTGATTATTTGAGTCAGCTAATATCAATATTCCTTTGATATTATAAAGGACATATGACCTTTTTTTGTTTTTCAAATTTCGTGACATGAAAAATGAATTTGTTATAAATATATTTGTTTATGCGTGTTAAAAGTTTGTGTTTCCCAGTTCGCAATTGAGGCCGAGAAGAACACCTTGGACTGAAATATTCCTAAAACTCCATTTTCCTTACGGCCCTAAATTGAATAACACACTCGGATGGAATTATTCCCGAGTTTCAATATTCAATAACGAAACTCCTCGTAAAATAATCACTGAATAACAACTTCCTCGCGACCGTATTAATGAGAGCATACCAGCTGGAATTATCGTAATCACAGAAGGCTGCACAAAACCCGGGACTTTTCCCGAACCTGTTATTTATTCGGGATTATTAAATGAGGCACATATGAACTGACCAACAAAAACAAAAATGACAAAAAATCGGCGGGAGTTTGGTCACGTCGCGGTGTAATCGTCGTCCGCCACGGAACCCGGCATTATCATAATCATGCTGCATTTAAATACGGACCAACGATTTTTCAATCTATTTTCATGTTTTCGCTTTATGTATATAATGAAAGTAGAGCGCACGAAGTTTAATTACGGCCGGGTCATTACCTAGGACGTGCCTTGCCACCATTACTACCATTACTACTACGCAGCTATCGTTATTTTTTATGTCCTCGGACGATTACCACTGATAGAGTCCCGGACTCGATTTCTTCGGGCGTCCAAATCGATTTACTTTTTTCAATAAGTCGTTTGTGATATAGCTTATAAAACAATATTGTGTGAATCAGGATTGTAGATGGTATTTCTGATCCAGAAAATAAAACGTCGTATTTGGTATATTTTATATTTCATTCAATAGCATGGTACATAAAATCAAACCAACGCCTCTTTATTTAAATACGTCTAACAATGCTGCAATTCCAGTAATAAATTAAGAATCTTGTCAACGAAGACCAATTTTAGTACGAACCAATCAGATTGGAGAGACTTAAATGGGCGTGTTTACTTAAATTATATTACATTCGATAGAAGTGGCTCTCTAGACATTTTAGTAATAGCTGTAATAACTCAGTTTAAACATTCATATGTTTTACGTGTTTGAATATTTCTTTATCTAAATAAACATACTAACATTGTCTGGTTGCGGTACAACAGTATTTTTTAAGTTGTCTAATTTAGGACAAACAATCAATCATTAAGTACTCGACCAGTGTAGATGTACACAATTCAATTGTACTGGTGTACCTCTAGCAGCAATTACAATTAGTACATTAATTAAGAAGGTCAAAGGTACAGGCTTGTTACAGAGATGTTGGAAGGTATTCGAAGTTATGATTCCCGAAGAAAATTGCAGGTTTCCCCAAAACTACTTCCGAACCCTTGGGAGTTTTTCCCAACTATGTACAATTGTGCTTTGAAAACGTTTCATGCCTCTACCAGACGAAACATTGCCGTTGTGAACAATAACATACTCAACAGTCAAAGTGTTGTGAAGACGATGGAATTTCATTCGGTTGTCGACGGCCAGGTCTCCGGTGCCCTTGGCTGGAGCGACTCCCGGCAGTAAAACTGTTTACGACCTGCTGACAGGAGAGGGACGACCGAACACATCATAACCGCAGTGACACGTAGTGGCCGAAATATCAACTACAATTCGGTTATTGCCAAGCCATCGTCAATACGGAACTTTTGAATTTGTACCCACATACCTGCGAAACTTTACATAACCTCAAAAAGTCTAAACCTAACCTCAAGAAAATAAACCTAACCTTTTGGTTGTTTGTTTGAAGATTGGTAACCTCTATTAAAGTGTGATTCGATCTTGAGTTTTGCACAATGAAAACCATATGCGAGGGAAAATGGGAGGATTCAGACAAAATTTGCAGACACTTTCTCAAGCCATGGTTCAAGATCTAAACATGGTGGGATGAAGAAGCTAAACTGAATCACCATCTATCTCTATGTAACAAGAGCTATTGGTATACAAATTACAAAATATGGCCATTCATTGTGTTATACACAATGCTTCGCATTTTAGCTTGAACATGATTGGGGGATATAGTCAGATTCTTTTTGTAGGTTTATTGCCGAATTAGATCAGAAGTTTTCTTAGGGTCATTTGAAGCGCAATGATTAAAGACAACTGGGTACATTTTAAACACATCAAAAAGTTACTGAATGTTCTCAGGATTGAATCGGCACCTACTGATTACTCAAAAAGTTCAGGAATTCGATTGCAATTGCCTCATCAATTATAATTCTCTAAAGGGAAAATGATATTTCTAGAAAGATACATTTCTTTTAGAGAAAGACACTATCTAGAAAACTTAAGTTAGCTTAAATTAACTTAATTTATTAGAAAGAAACTTTAAAAGTATTGAAAAGTTCAACATGGAAGTTCCAAGCAACCGAATGTATCCGAACTCATCTACAAATAATGGTCATCTGGGTCGAGCAGGATTCAAATTAAAACCTTAAAACACCCCTTTAAATAAAGCGGACTTTAAAACAGAATTTTAAGTCTCCCGGGCCGGATATTTATTTGGCCTGATCGGCCTCATTTGAGGATAATAACACGGTGGCCGCTTCATTTCATAAAACTGGATAGTTTCTCTGCTAGTCCCAAGGAATTCTCTGCGCCGCTTTTTCCTCCGCAGGATTCCTTCCAAACGCGGTCTTTAATTTTTAGAAAATCGCGACAGCTTTAGATTCTTACACGGGTTTGTACCCTGTCAAGTTTCTAAGGAGCATATGAAAAAAGGAGTTATTTTTGGACACTTGCAATTTGAAAAGATAATTAGTTATACCATTGACTATTGGATACAGAAGGTTATACTGAACTACATCAAATACGGTTGCTGATCGGAAGGACCGAAGAACTGAATCTTCTGCAACCTCAGGACTCACAAGTTAAACGACTAAACTTTGCAAATTAATAACCGTCATACTTTTTTACTTAGTAAAAACGACAAGGGAAACCCGACAGTGACAGAGTAAAGAAACCTCGGCATTGTGGGCGTTAGAACGTACGCAAGAGGAACAAGAACAAAGAGACAAATGATTCCGGTAACGAGTAGACAGAAAAGAGATAAGGCGTAAAAGCAAAACTGAGTTGATGAGAGAGCCTTATGATAGCGGGGCTGGGCCCAATATTGACCAAACCTGACTAAATATTGGCACCTCGGGTCAACATTTTAAAACGTCCGGCCGCAGAGAGCTGCAGCGAGGTGTGCTCCTTCAAATATTGTAACAAATAACTCGGCTCGGGTCACCCCAAAGGGTGGAAACTTTTGTTTTTGGATTCCTGCAAGATTAAAAATGTACAATTACGTAGGGAACGTCGTGATTTTGCGGCAAGGTACAGACTTTTATAAAATAAACTAAATTAATTGGAATTTGCTAAACTTACAAAAAAAGTTTAAAACTCTAGCAAGAGCAGTGTGTTTGAGAGTGATTTCAGGAGTTTTGTGACGCTAGGGAAAGTTCAAGTGATTTTGACCTGAATAAGGAGATAGCCTAAAAATAAAATGAGAATTTCAAAAGACTGAAATTGCAAGCCTCAATATGTTCACCCGTGATCACTTTAAGAACATCAAAATAATAATTGAAGAGATTATCATGTTGAAGAGCCTGAAAGGTGACCCTTGTTTGGAGCTTAAATACCCCCTTTGCCGTAAACATTTCATTGATGATACTTGTGAATTGAAAAAAACGAGAGGGAAAAGCATGCCATGTAAATTAAAATGTTGATTTGTTTAACAAACTATGATGTTTCAATCACAACTGATGGTACAAATGATAGAGCAAATGTTTTCCTCTGCGCTTGGCTGCAACGCACGATGCGTTGTGTAGAGCAGCAGCGTTAACTGTACATTTATGACACTCCGCATGCTATTTCCTCTAATCGGCTTTATATAGCGGCAATAAAACATACAAATTTAATAAATACTGGTCTCAACTACTTCTTTGAAGTCGAAGAAAGAAACCGCCCTGGGAAACTTCTGATTTTCATTTCCTTCTTTTGTTTCGACTTAATAGGGCGGATATAGAAAAACTAGTGTAAAACGTGAAACTAATCTAATAATTAATTGTGACGACTCTTATGCAAAACTGATATAAGTAGTTTGGGCGACAGATTTACTTCTGTAGTTGCACGAGTTGAGGTATCGATATGGACTTTTGAATAACATTGTATTAAAGAAAGCAGGTACTGCAAATAGAACTCTTGGTGAACCTGAAGATACTGGAAGTTCTCAATACGAGTACATGGACCTTCAATCGATATTTAAGTAGATACAATGACATCAAAGATGATGATGACTAGATTTGAAACATAATTTTTATCAGGCCCCTTTCGCAAAAAAAAAAACAAAAAAAAAACAACACAAGATTTTGTATCATTTTGAGTTGGAAATTGCAAATAGTACTTAACGTTAATGAGGTTACACAAATGAACATCAAGTACTCAAATTCTACATTTGCATTGCTTGCGAATAAACCTTTTGAATATGCCACGCTTTACTATGATGTACAAGCTTTTGAATGAGTTCATTCAAACTTCACTGATAAGTTTCCGTATTAGCTAAAAAGTAATTAAAATAATGAGCCTATGATGACATAATTTGGAATTGCACCTTGAAATTTGAAAAGCATTCACAACTATCGAAGTTAACACTTGAAAGATAAACTCAATTTCAGAACAACAAAGTCTTCAAGAGTCTGCGATCACAATTGGAAGAACATAGTACATTGTTAGCATGATAATCGGGATGAATCAGTTGTTAATCTAAAGCAATTGAATTTATGAAGCTATAGACAGAGCATTTGGAATCCGTGACAAGGGGATTTGACTGAAATCTCTTCCGAAGAATCCAACATCAGAACAACATATTTTTCAAGCATCTGGTATCACAATTTGCAGTCAAGTATTGCATTGTTCGCAGGAAATCAGTTATGATTCGTAACAACACTTATTCCTGTGAGAATCTTCAAATGTGCAGATAGATCAGTCGGTGGCTGTGGCCGGTGGCACGCCGCAATCACCAGTATTGTCCTTTCTTGTCGACACTTCTAATTGTCGTATTGACGAAGACAATGGAACATCTGGTCACCTTTCCTCCTACCGTGTCTCATTATTGTCATTTCTGACACTTCTCTCGCCTCCTTCAGGCGACCAGGCCCCTCTCTCTTCGTGTCTATAGGAGACAGTCTGCATGAGATCAAAGCCTATAGCTTTACTACCCAGAACAGCGTGTGTGTCTTTTACGTCTCTGAAGTTTTTGGAATTCAGTTTGTGTGGGTTGTAGAAATGAAAGTGTCTTTAGTTCAGTCAGAATCAGTTTGATTGGAAGCAAGTGTAGTTGCGACATGCTATGCAGATGAAGCTGCTAGAAAGACATTAGTTCGAGAAGTAATAACACATTTTGCAAATTGATTATGCTAGCTTTGGAATATCCTCAAAGTGCATATGCATAACGAACTGTGAGATCAGGTATATCAAACATTGTTTTCACTGCAGACTCATTTTGAAAATAACAATTCAACTAGGCATATTTATGAGTTGATACCTTTTGTAACTTTATCAGTTACAACTAAAGCACGAAGCACACATTTCGCCAGTTTTGTATTCCAAATGTGCATCGATGTTCTAGTTACAAGTTGCCCGATATAGAGTTAGTCGTGACCATTCGTTACATTTATCGAAATCAATTATCCATAATTTATAAAACCAGTTTCCGTCATTGGATTCCTTTCTAGTAATTTAGTCTAATGAATTTGTAATTGAAACGTACATTTGTCATTGCGAAATGGATGTTTGTATTTCACTAGGAGAGGATTAAACGCACAACATAAAACAAAACATGAGAAACCAATTAGTACGTGGTTAGGTCTGGCGTTATTTATACCACTAGAGAATACCAGAGATTTAAAAAAAAAACAAGTCAAGCTTCCTTATTTACAAAAACACAAATTTTACGTATGCAAATGCGTTATAGTGTGCAAAAAATGTATTGTTCACAGTCGAATTTGAAGTGCACTCATTTCTGGTAAAAGATATGTTTGAAATTTCAAGATCACCTTGAGTTTGATTCAACTCCAAATCAACCGGCAATACCATTCACTGTATTAATTAAACGTTAGAGTTGATAAAACGCTTTTAAAAATTTGACGGCATCCATTGCCATAACTTTTTAACCTACCGGGGGGAATGTACACCCATTAGCCATTTTACGAGGTCTGTAACTTTGCCCCATTACAGCGATAAACCCAAGTATTTCGAGTGTTCCATTGCGGCAAATATCGCGGATCTTTGACAGATTAGCAGATATCTGCTCGGGCCGGGACTTCCATCATCTGGGTTGGAAGTTAGGTTTTAATGACATGAATAAGTTCTAAAAAACCGGCTCAACAATAAAACTTGCTTTTGCCTACACCTGCGACTTACCTAGCGGAACACCCTGTAAAAACGTTATGGACTGCAATAACGTGATAGCGACGACGGACATCTTGCTCGTCCCGGCACCGTTAACCAGGAGGCAGTGGCGTGAAGCCGTAGAGTTTAATAATTTCTTCATTTCAAAGTATCAAGGAATTGATATTCTCAGTAAATTTTTTTTTAAATAAAAGTGGATATTTTGAATCTCCTAAGGCTGCTCGAAATGAGGAAACCAGTGAATTGGGAGAACTTCATTGTACGTAGACAGAGCTAGTTTAGTAACAAACAAGACCGCGATAAAAAATTATTATTAGGCTATCCTGAAGAATCCGATGGTCACCAGTATCACTCCTTGATCCCCTTCATCCTGAACCACACACGTTGGTGTGTCACTGGTGTATTTATTTAGTCCATGCAGTCGTTTTCTATAATACTGAGTTTCCTGCACTATATCACTCTCTACTCGTCTCACGGGATAGATTTAGAAGCTGTAGAGCTGATTTGTAATACGACTTACTACTAAGGGATTACTAAGGGTACTAAAAAGGAATTCGTAACAACTATTGAGTTTACTACTACATGCTAGCTTACCGGTTACAGGGTTGATCTGGAAGCTGGAGTTGCTGGGTATGAGGCTGAACCTGATGGCTCCGTTGGTTCCCAGGTCGCGGTCAGAGGCGCGGATCACGCCGACAGGAGCTCCGCGAGGCAGATTCTCTTCGACCCCGAACTGGTAAGCGTCCTGGGCGAAGGCCGGGTCGTTGTCGTTAGCGTCGCTGACGGACACGACGACGACGGCGGTCGCTGTACCCGCGGGCGTGCCGTTGTCGGTGGCGGCGACACGCAGCGAGTACCGATCCTTGACTTCACGGTCCAGTGGATGTCGCAGATACAACCAGCCGCTGTTGGGGAAGATGCCAAACGCGTGGTTCGTGTCGAGCAGACGGTAGGTGAGCCTGGCGTTGTTGCCGGTGTCGAGGTCCACGGCGGTCACCTGCACCACCTGTCAATGCAACAAGAGGTTGAGAAAATGCAACAAGATTTAAATGCAAGATTTAACTTAAGATTATTGCACTTCAATACGTTAATATCGAACTGGAAAGTAAAATATTTATAGCTCTTTGGATAATAGTTTGAGAGCTTTAAACATTCACTCAATCACTCTAACTTAAGCTTTACGAAATAATCTAAATTAGTGGTAGCGGAATTGATTCCGAAATGTGACGTGGTACGTATTTTTATCGCATAAAAAAATAGGTTGAAATTCAAAATTTCTGGGTAACCTCATAAGTGGTAGATTGTGTAAGACTGGAGGATTCACTGGAACAGATGGTCAACGAAGTGCAATTGAACATATGTTCGTTATGCAGTAACACGATACTTGCAAGTTCAGTTCGGACCAATGTTTTAACCTTATACAAAACTTCGCTATGAAAATGATAAAGTTATTGAATCGTGAACCTATAGTAGATACAATCACGACCTTTGGCAGTGATGTGATAATCCAAAAGAAAGTTGAATATGAGACATCGGTGCGTGTTCACGATGTAAATTCAACTGAACTCACCGACAAAGCTCTTTCGACCAACAATGCCTTCTATAACATGTGGCTGCTTTTCAGGTTATCAAAGATATTTGTGCGCGGCGGGTCTGGCGGAGATCCTAGAGGGGTGTCCTCTGAAGGGTTAATGGTGTGACATCCAGGAAACAACGCGCCATTCATCAGATAATTGGCCCGTTTGATTGATGTGGTTGAGGTGAGAGGTTGGCCGATACCTACAACACTTCTCACCGTACCTCCTCCACCTCACCTTCGAGATATTTATGATCGCGATGCTTATTCGCTATTAACTCAACTATGCCTGGCTCACACTGGTGCTGAGTTGACACTTTAATTAATTGAGCAAGCAAGATTGGACAGAGTGCAAACCGAAATTAAGTGATTTGAAAATCGGAATACACAAAGTTCAGGTGATTTGGTACCAAACATCAAAGTTTTAAAAGGTTGGTGACTGCCAATTTCAAGCTCACAATTCAATGACGATAAATTGTAGTAGTCTATATTTTCTCTTTGGGACAGATTTTCAAATTCATCAATTTTCAAATGTCAAAAAAGCGATCGATTGGAAGTTGAGGGGATGATGAGATCTCAAATAGGTTTTGCGCGGAAAGGCTTCTTAATGTAGGCAATTATCAGGGGAACTGCCTCCTCATCAGGCCCATACGTGATGATTACAACCAAGAAAATACTTAGCATCCGTGAGATAATCAAGTTAGGCTCTGGACAATTACCGACATTAATAATAAAGGCCGACTTGTCCGCGAACGGATTATAAGGATAGGTATTTTTAATTAGCTTCCAGACCGGTAAGCGAACTGGCGAGCCGATGGTGAACCGATGCAAGAAGAGGTGATTACCGTCCAGGAAATGACAATGCAGAACCAATTTCTAATAGCATTACAAATAAGGTCGGTCTGCGGATTTAATCGGTAATTCAACTAGCAAATGAACAATTTCGGATCGATTGAAAGTGGTTTAGAATTTAACTGTAATATCGGCAGTCTAGAAATAAACGTCGGTAAGTGGTTTAGAGGGTGGGTTGAGAATCGTTGAGATTGGGAATGTAAAAAATTAACGTTGACATACAATAGATAATATTGATAATGGAAATACGTAAGGAAATTGCGATAAAAGACAATAATTTAGTATTTCAATGATTTGAGTAATAATATTCAACAATATGAATGGACATTAAAAATTAAAGCTTTCTGAGGTTGAGTAAATACTTAATACACACTACACTAACTAATGAGTTGACTTATTTATACTTTCAACTTTCAAATCTAAATCTGACAAGGCATGTCTATCAACTCAAGAAGTTGATCGCAAACAAGGGAGTTGATGCACCAAAAATACAAAACCCTCAATCACTTTCCGCGTTACCATTAATAAAAATCAATCACTATAATTTTGTCACCCCTAAAACGACCGAAATGATCCAACATGTAAACCTCTTCTTCAGAGTGGGTGAAATCTATAGAGGAGACTCTTAGAAGGGAAGATTGTTCCTGCAATCAATAATAGGTTGTAATTAGAAAAGCATCAGAGTTGAGGAATGAGGAATGGATGTGGGAGTGTAAGCCGACCATTACCAGTGGCGGAAACCAAACGCCGAAATTAATTAAAAACCAGGATTAACTAATTCATCACGGTAACGATGAAGTCTTCAGAGAGGATATTAGTGGGGTCAAATCTATTACGCTCATTGTCTGCCTGAGAGTCTAGTGTCTAGGGTAAGGGAACTTAATTTTAGAGCTAAACGATTCTTTAACACCGACTAGTGGGATTGTAAAGGGAACTTTCCAAACTGAGATGACGAAATTGCAGAGAATAATACCTCTAAACAAGGGCGTCAAATAAATTCATCGTCTCTCTCTACTATTTATTTTGGGGAACAGTCACACTGTAGCTTGGTAAGTACTTAACTTTAATCTAATACATATATCATATATAGAATCAAGGCTCTCCTGGTGGCACAATGAAATTTTCATCAAGATACTCTCTATTTGCAGCTCACAGATCAAGATTTTAGTCTTTATCATGGGGTAGGTAAATTCGTAATTGAGAAGAAAAAGTCTTACATCAAGGAGACCAATATTACAATTTCCGTCACAACATTGTGAGCACTTCTTGCACAATTTGATTACGAACACTCTATAGTTCGGCCGCTTAGAAAGCGACCTCCTCCAGCATTGGTTTAGCATTAGCGCGCAGGTCGTTTTCTAAGCGGCCGAACTATAACAAACCTTACATTCAACAGATTAGTACATTTTAATTGATCCTACCTGTGAGTTGACCGGGAGACTTTCCGACACTGTAACAACGTACTCCGTTCTCTCGAACACCGGCGGGTTGTCGTTCACATCCTGCACTTCCAGCAGCACAGTCAGGTTCGCAGTCAATGGGGGTTCACCCGCGTCCGTCGCCGAGACAACCAGGCTGTGTCTCTGAGCGGTCTCGTAGTCCAGCTGACGAGCCAAGGTCAAGTGCCCAAGGCGAGGCTCGATGGCGAACAGACGGGCGTCGCCGGAGGACGCTGACACCAGACGGTACCTGACCAGGCCGTTGCGTGAGGAGTCGCTGTCGCGAGCTTGAGCTGCGTAGAGAGGGACTCCTACTTGAGCGTTCTCCGGAACAGACAGTCGCACCGTCGTGGAGTCGAATTCCGGGCCGTTATCGTTGACGTCGTCGATCACTATTTTGACCTGGAAGAGTAGAAAGAATACGTTAGGACCTTATCATATTCAAATCCATGTTGACACGGTAAGGTTTACTCTTACCAAAACTCAGTTCAACACGTCAACATGTTCTTATAACAAACCCCAATTTGAACCATCAAATACAGTTTTCAGTAATCACTACAGTTATAAAAATCAGCTATTACGAAATCCAATTTTCTATTGACGGGCGGAAGTCTGGAACTCAGCGGTTCATTAGAGCTGTGACATTCTCAGATCAGGCGTTCATTATAGGACTGACCTTTGGCAAGATTTAATCCTTCTTCATTTGCATCCGCAGATCCTTCTTCCCAGGGTATAACGTGTTAATACTCCCTCATTACGCGACCCTTGTCACCCAACCGTGAACGTGAAGATTGTCGTGATGTGAGAATGTGTTTGACCAACACGTCATGACATGAGTTAGTGAAATGGATTTTACAGAGTGGAAATATATATACACCAAGCAGAAATTATTGTACAAATCCTTACTCATTGCAGGGGTTTGTAAAAATCTAGGGGATTAACTTGTGTTAGTGATTTTCGTCAGTTTAGTTCAGGTAATTCAAAAAAGGTTTTTGTTCGAAATACAAACCCTCCTATGTCCGAAATTACGACTTCAACAGCAATCTTAATCATTTCTTTACCACGTACCCGGAACATACCACATAACCTCTAGTTAGCTCTAGTATATCGTACTAACAATGAACTGAACTCATTCATACTAAAGTTGCCAAAATATAGCATGCCCATTGCAGCTTACCTGGGTGTATGCGGCAGGAGATTGTTCTGTGGCAGCTTGTACAGTGATGAGGACGAACGTGTGAGCTTCGTGGTCCAAGGGGGAGGAAGTCCTGATTGCTCCGGAGCCAGGGTCGATGGAGAAGTAACCGTCGGCATCCCCGTCAACGATGGAGTATTTCACCAGGGAACGGTAGCCTGGAACAAACATTTCCAGTCAATACTGTGATTGGGAAGAACAATTCCCTCAGGAAAGGAATTATTCCAACAAGAAGAAAATAATTGATTAATAAATTCTGCTCAGTGTTCTCAGTGTATTTACTTATGGAGCTTCATAATTTCGTCGATGTACCTCTTACTGTTAAGTGTGGGTATTTTGCATTCAGGTTGTTTACTTGAAAGTAGAGTATGAGTAGTCTACTCGGATTACCCAATTCAATAGTATCTTACTTTATACATCATCTTTATAGCATCTTTATACTCTACTTTATAGCATCATCATCATACATTCTAAATTTTGATCTTCCACGTAGACGTAGAACATACAACCCCTATATTTCACGAAAGTGTCTGCTTAATGTTCTAACCTTTTCCCTTAACCCCAGTATATCAATCCATCTAGCCCCTGTCAAACCTGGCCAATCGAATGACCCTAGTTTCACCTTGCACGTTACCAACGCGGCAGAACGCAGTGTAATTACATTGTTCCACCGCCTACAAACATGAGTTCACTTGTATCACAAAGGGAATCATATCATGGGACCATCTACGCCCCCATATCGCCTATGAAACAACACCATCGCCCAGCTGGTGTTGAAATCTTCGGTGGGGCGGAAGCAAGTCATTACTTCCTGTTAAATGTCCCACTTCCGTTGGTTTGGGCGCCGCGGTCCCAACAGAGGCACGCAGGGCAGGCGTCGCCGCGGAACGCCACCGGGCATTGTCTTAGGCATCTCTCTATTATGGCGCGATGTTAGCGTAGCATGTGTCTTTGACCTCGCATTGACTTTGCTAACAAATCTAGAACCGCCCTGGTTGCTATATACAAGTTAGGACTCGTGCAGCGTTTTACTCAAAACATGCTGTCACCTCTTTCTTCAATCTGAACCGAACAGTGTGTTGGACGATGCCAAGTAGCAGAAATATACCCAATAACTTCAAAACCCAAAGAGTAATTAACATTTGTCCAGGAATAGCTGGGAATGCTTTTGGGGATAGTAAATCTAAATGAAGACTGAAGGTTGGTGATTGAATTCCATATTGATTACAAATTTGAAAAAAATATACAATTAACACTCTCTAAGAATTTAAGCTTTCTAACTTGTGTAGTACATTGGAAAGAATTAAGTATATAACGTGAAATTTAGATACATCAAGAAGAGCGGTGTTATGTGCGTGATGCCTGGTCTAGTTTTACCGATTTTCAGTTGATTCTTTACCTAGGGCCATCCGGCACTAAAATTTTCAGCGATCTGTGATAGTTCTAGTGATAGAGAACACTTAACAAGTGTGTGAACGAACAACGGACCTCTTGTCTTGTTTGTAAAGCAGTTGAAATATTCATTCATTTCTACAAACGTTGACCTGCTCCACATTGAACAGCCACCTCTGAGGCAGGCGCACAGGAACATTTCGCGTTTTGGCAGTTTGGCACCCCTACTGTGGGCTCACCCGTGACCTGACGTGCCTGGTGGACCGTTACAGAACAATATGAGCGTTTTGATGTTTGTACTGTCCGCGGGGGAGGGGAGAACGGCTAATTAGGGAGAACCGAGGGCATATCTCAACGTCGCTACTAGCATTAATATCAGATGTACGGCGCTTTATCAACTCCGTGGGGATCCCATTCCGCACTCCACCATACACTTTTCTCCCGCCACATTTATCCTTCGCATGAGAGCAGAAACTCTGGCTGGGCTGATTGCAAAATGATTTACACCATCTTTCAACTTTGCTATTTTCACGCCTCGGCTATACCTTTCAGATTTCTGTGTGTCACTCGGATTGGCGGTTGAATGGGGATTGGCGTTTAGAAAGTAAAACGCTCGGGGTTCTTCTAGGGAGTAGAGGGAGCCATTGAACGAGCCCACTCTTTAAATACAGATTTAAATTAATTATAAGTTGAAGATTTTAATATTAAATCACTTAGACAAAAATGCAGAATTTTACAATTACCTTAGTATGAATTTCTTTAACACCGTTTGACACAAATTCTTTCTGAGTCATCTCCCTCGTCCAAAGCCTCAAGGAAGTAGCAAAGTTCAAATGTCACTTCCTAGTAGGCAACTTACTAAAGGTATTCTTTCTTTGCACAACAAATTTAAAACTCAGTGTAATTACAACTGACCTCTACCTGTTTCCGAATGCTCTGATGCATTGACGCATAGTTGCAATTGGTGGGTGACCGATTTAATGTAGTTTCCCTGACGGTGAATGACACTGGGACCGATAAGCTGAGACCCCTGCGAAGTTCCAATCAACACGAGTGTCTTAGACAATGGAACAATAATTAATAACCGTCAAACGTCGCGGCAGCCATATTGTGAGGACGGTTCTTTGTTAGGCACAACTTCGACCTGTTGATGAGCAAGATACGATGTTTTAGTATGAGGTCAAGTCCAGGTTGCATATGGGGTGAAGATAAGAAATCTTGGAAATGGATTCATATTGAGCAAACTGAAAGAACCTTTCATGCGAATCAGTAAAAATGAATTTACTCTTTGGATTAACAGCTATATTCTCCACTGCATGATTTAAACTTGAGTTTAACCTTGACACATGAAAAATGTTTTACGACACATCTTTACAGCCTTGCAAGGCCATTCGTGGTTATCTATTCTTTCAACACGTTTCTTAGGTAAACAACGCACCATTTAACCGTTAATAAATGTAACAAAATCGCCCTTGTCATAACAACCTTGAGCCGATTCACAAATGTCAAGCTGCCGTGTACAACACTCGCTATTTGAATGCTCTGCACCTTCCTACGCCACAGTCACAATAGTTATTACCGGAGGAATGCGGCCAGTCGGCTCAACTGGGTTTACTCAATTCCGTTTATGCTGTGCAGAAAAAATACAGAGAGAAATTGAAGTAGGACCGGTCCTCGAAAATAAAAGGAGCGGCGGGCTCGACTGCAGCTCTCCGTCCCGGGACACACAACCAATTACTGGACAGTCCCTCGTTGGCTAATTAAACCTACCGAAACTGCAACTCAGTACGCCATAAATAATGTCACCGATCGTTGTCACTGGGCTACCGAGTGGGCTAGATACCGTTAAATATCTGCGGTTGGATGACGGAACATTCGCCCCAAACATTGAAGGAAACCGCAACTCAGATGCCCAAAGAATGTCACAAACCATTGTAACTGAACTGCCGAGTGAATTGTAGAAATGGCTTTAGAACACTTAGCAATAGAGGAAACTGCAATTCACTTACTGAAATTATGTTTCATATTATCATTGTAGTGACGTTCTCGAAATATAATGTTAATTTTAAACTACAGTGTCCGAAAACAATGCCAATGATTTTGAGCCGTTGAAACTGCTCTACTGAGACAGAAGGACACTTATATACTTTCATGGTCTGTATAATTTATTCCTCATGAAGTGCACACTCGTGAAAAACATAAAATCACATTGAAAATTTAAGTTGACTTTGGTACAACCATATATGAGATAACACTATGTATCCAATGAATACATACATGAAACAGCCAATTATAAAAAAGGATTTAAGTTTCGAGTGCTTACTTAGGGAAATCATATAACTGATCATTACGTTTTAATGGGCGAATGCTGTTCTAGGACTTTGGTCCTTTCCACTCTCTGCTGTAACTCGGTGTATCTACTAATTGTAATGTTATTCATAACAAGCTCAATTGTAGCAAGAAACTTCCAAGGGCTTCCAAGCTCATCGCCCTCAATCATCGCCATCAATCCCTTTTGGGTAAAAGATGAAGATACGGTAATAGGTAATAGGTACAATGGCATCTTCATCTGTTAAAATATGGGTAATAGGTAATAGCTACGCAAAGATGACTAAATGAAGACCTTGGGCAGTTAGTTCAGTGTGACCAGTAGAGAGGTTTACAACTTCACAAAATATTTCAGATCTCACATGTTGTCAAGTTACTGGAACAATACTATATTCCTGTAGTAAGAAATCTCCAAGAGCTTCCAAGCTCCAACGTGAGCAATGTTGTCTTAATTGCCTTGGGTGTGGGGAGCACGGGGGCGACAGACAGTCCCGCCAATTAAGCTTCTGTTGCCAGGGTATATTAGTGAAATTGCGTGGGCTTGCCCATTGTGCCCCCCTCCCATCCGCACAAATTGAATACTGCTTGTCGCGTACATTGAAAATCGCTTGGAAAACTTTGAAAAAGTTTGGAAAGTGCTGTTCAAGGTCTTCGAAGAAACACAAGTCTGAAGTAAATTTCGTTAAAATCTATAGTTTGTAAAGAATATAAAGTTTCGGAAGTATTTTTGCCATGCAAAATCTTTGAAGGAACTCAAATCTAAAGTAAATCTTTTGAGCATCTTTAATCTTGATGTAAGTTTAAATTCATTCAAAACCTGTCCAACAATAGTCTTTCATAGATTCACATTCAAATGTAAATCAAATCAACTAAGTGATAGATATTATTGAAGCTGCTCGTCAACTATTTTATCTGTGATATTCTACGAGTTGCCGGTTGGCCGAATGTTTAAGATGTTACTGAATGTACGATAGGTCACACTATACTATCATCACATTAGCAACTTCATCATGCTAGAAAATTCCTTCATTCAGTATAAAGAGATTTTCATAAACACAAAATCAAAAGCCCAGAGTGTCGTGGTGACTGAAGAAGGAAAACTTATACGTCGAATAGGGTGTCAGAAGCATTATGTACCGGTATATTTGCTACATACTGGCATGCATCGCTCCATGCGTCACAGCGCTTTTGTAAAGTCTCATGAAGATGTAGAGAAGCCTCCATTACCCGCGAGGCGTGGCTGAATGTCACTCCTGGGTTCAATTGAGGAGATTTACACCTCTTGGCGAAGAAGTTGATTTACTCCCGCAGTAGGCATATCACCGCAGTAACTCTCGCCAAACAATAAACTTATCGTTCTGGTTATTTATTACATCTGTTACGTCAAGAGAAGATATCCACGCCTTCTTCCCACTATCGAGTGATGCACTGTTACATT